CAGAACTGGAATTCTGCAAGGGTTTCCTGTGGTTTCCTTTCTCACCCGCTGAAGGCCAGAAGTGGATTTTTTTTTTTAAGATTTATTTATTTATTTGAAAGTCAAAGTAAGAGAGAGAGGTAGAGAGAGAGGTCTTCTAACCGCTGGTTCACTCCCCAGAAGGCTGCAATGGCCAGAGCTGTGCCAATCTGAAGCCAGGAGCTTTTTCCTGGTCTCCCATGTGGGTGCAGGGGCCCAAGGACTTAGGTCATCTTTTACTGCTTTCCCAGGCCATAGCAGAGAGCTGGATCGGAAGTGGAGCAGCTGAGTCTTGAACCAGCGCCCATATGGGATGCCGGTGCTTCAGGCCAGGGCATTAACCCACTGCACCACAACACTGGCCCCTGTTGTCCCTTTCACATCGCCACACACCAGGCTACCAGAGAACTGGGCATTAGTCCCTGGATCACCCAATTTCCTGTTACTCACTGCCTCCCAGGACAGGTAAGCAGCTAAGGCATTGCAAAGAGAGGTCTCCCAGCATCTGTTTCAGTTTGGGTTCTGCCCCTTCCGTTGTCTGACCTTGGGCAAGTTGCTCGACCCCTCAAGGCTTCATTGTCTTCGTTGGTACTGGGGAGCAATGCAGGGCTCTGCAGCAAGGACAGTCATCAGCTGCTACTGCCGTGGCTCCTAGGGGCCGGGCCACAGGACCTACGACTGGGTTTCCATTTCCCTCTCTCTTGATTTGGTGTCCTCCTCCTGTCTGTCCTCCGTGGTTTGTCCTGTCACCAGTCCACGGGTCTGCCTGCCTGCTTGTCTCCCTCCAGGCCCACACACGGTGTCGGCTCCCCGTCACAGAGCTGGGCTGTTGCTCACTCTCACAGGGTATGGGGTTGCTCTCGCCTTGCTTGCCATCAGTCAATAAAGATAAATTACAAAATCGTTTGTTTTATTTGTTCTTGTTACCTTGAGGGCTGTCTGAAATTGCCTCGCTTGTGAAAGCCACATTTGCATATCTCTATGCTGGAGTCAAAGGCTGCAGCTGTGGTTTCACTGCATTTAAATATTAATAAAACCTCCTCAACCTCTAGCTGCTGTTTTTTTTTTTTTCCCCAAGCAGTCTGGCCCTTCTGCTCCTAGGTTGCTAATATAATCTAATCTTTGTCCTTTGCTTTGTATTTGCTTAAAGGGCCATTTTGGAGTTAACTGAAGCCAGCTGCTGCAACCCTGCAGATAAGAACCACTTACCAGCCCACAAACCTTATTTATCCTTAACAGGTCCAAGATTTACCTCTCCTGGAGACAAAAGAATAGGCTGTAGCTAACATTTTACACCAATTAGCAGCCCCTTAACACTCAGCCAGTGGTTCTCAAACTTGAGCTTGTTGCTGGTTTCTAATCCTGGGTCTGGGTGAGGCCCAAGGATGTGCAGTCTGGTAGGCTCCTAGGTGATGCTGTTGCCTGCCCACACTCCCATGCCGCGAGAGCTACTGCACTGGGCCCCGCGTTATACTGCCCTGTCACTCTGGGTCCTCAACACTCATGTTCCGCAGCCCACGTAACATCGGGGGTCTCTCCAGATCTTGATACCTTAGCAGCTCCAGCTGTTCCTGACTGCCCATTCCAATCAGCTCTGCCTACACCTCCCCAGTCCTCGCTCTCTGTAGGAGCCGGCTGTTTCCAGTTCTTTTCTATTTGTCCAGATTCACTTCTTTAATTTTCCCCTTGTTACGGGCAGACTCCCAGGCTATGTGAAGGAGCTAAGCATCACGGGAGCACGGTGAAGAGGCCTCCGGCTCAGCCATTTTGCTGCTGTTGATAAGTGAGCTTCCACGTTCCCTGGGCAGCAGGCCTCATTTTCTCTCGGGTTTGGTTCTGGGTGGATCTGCAGTCCCCCATACCCTGCCCGTCGCTCTGTGCCGCCTGCCTTGGGGCTTGCCTTTATCTGCTGCTTGCAGCCTTCACAGGATACACTCTGGGCAGCTCGCTTCCTTCCGCTCCAACCACCTCAACACTGACTCCTTTTTCTCCTTCATGTCTGAGCCGAAACTTTGTTGGTTCCAGGGCATTTTTTAGGAAGGAGATAATCGGCGGGAGTTCTCCAGGCCCCCTCCCTGCACTTGCATGATAACCCTCCTTCTCCTGCCTTTCCAGTTTTTAATTTTTTCCAGAAGTCCATTTTGTGCAGTGAGATAAAGGCAGTACAGGAAGGAGTGTGCAAGCGCCGCTGTGCCCACAGAGAGCTGGGGAATGCGGAGTGGGAAAGTAGGGGCACTTCTTCAGGTCAGAGGTCACAGGAGTGATTTACTTCGTCATCAGACACGACTCAAACCAGAGCTTGGAACACATGGGGCATACACTTGTTAAGCAGCCTTGAGACAATCACAGAAAACGCTTTGTTGTTAAAGGTTTTATTTATTTGAAGGGCAGAGTTACAGAGGGAGAGATTCGCCATCTGCTGCTTCACTCCCCAAATGGTTTCAACGGCCAAGGCTGGGACAGGCCAAAGCCAGGAGCCAGGAACTTCATCCGGGTCTTCCACTTGAGTACGGGGGTCATCTTTTGGGCCATCTTTTGCTGCTTTCCCAGGCGCATTAGCAGGGAGCTGATTCAGCTCAGAGCAGCTGGGACTCCGACAAGCACTCACGGATGCAGCATCACAGGCAGCACCTTAACCCACCGCACCACAGTGTCAGCCTACAGAACGTTCATTGTGTTGGTTCATCGCTACTTTTACCCAGGATTCCCGGAAAGGCAGGAACGTACTGGACGGATGTTGCTCATTAGCCCTCAGTGACGGGGGCAGCAGGTATGGGCCTGGCTCTCCAAGGTCTGTAAATCATGACCGGAATCATCACTGGAAATGAGACGCTGTGAAACCGAAGACTGTGCCAACAGCACTTGTTTTAAATGGAGGGGTGGTGGTGGTGGTTTAAAATTTATTTGAGGGCCAGCGCCGTGGCTCAATAGGCTAATCCTCTGCCTGTGGCGCCGGCACACTGGGTTCTAGTCCCGGTTGGGGCGCCAGATTCTGTCCATAGCGGCCACTTGGGGGGGTGGTGGTGAACCAACGGAAAAGGAAGATCTTTCTCTCTCTCTCTCTAACTCTGCCTGTCAAATAAAAAAAATAAAAAAAGATTTGAGACCGGCACCGCAGCTCAATAGGCTAATCCTCTGCCTGTGGCACCAGCACACTGGGTTCTAGTCCCGGTCAGGGCGCTGGATTCTGTCCTGGTTGCTCCTCTTCCAGGCCAGCTCTCTGCTGTGGCCCGGGAGTGCAGTGGAGGATGGCCTAAGTCCTTGGGCTCTGCACCCGCATGGGAGACCAGAAGCAACTGGCTCCTGGCTTCAGATCAGCGTGGTGTGGCGGCCGCAGTGGCCATTGTGGGGGTGAACCAATGGAAAAGGAAGACCTTTCTCTGTCTCTTTCTGTCCACTCTGCTTGTCAAAAAAATTTATTTATTTGAAAGAAATGGGGTGGGGGGTGTCTTCCATCTGCTGGTTGATGCCCCAAATCCCTGCGTTTGGCTGAGCCATGCTGAAATCAGGAACTTCTTCCAGGTTTCCCACATGGGTGGCAGGGGCCCAGGGACTTGGGCCATCTTCCTCTGCTATCCCAGGTGCCTTAGCAGGGAGCTGGATTGGAAGCGGAACAACTGGGACATGAACTGTTGGCCATGTGAGATGCTGGCGTCACAGGTGGGTGCTTAGCCCGCTACGCCGCAACGCCGGCCCCCCAGTAGCACTCTTGCTTGCTTCCTGCCTGCCTCTCCTAACACTGAGACCCATCGGTTCCCTGGCAGGTTACAGGGCCAAGTGTTACAGGTGAGGCTGTGAACTGGAAGGCTCTTACAACTGGGAGGTTGGGTAGGAGTGGAAGCAGTGGCCATGACTCGACCTCCTCAGTCTCTCTGCCTGACATGGGGCTGTTTTTACCATCTCCCATCCTGGGCCATAAAGGAACTGAGTGCTAGCTCCCCCACAACCCACCCCTCTCCCAAAATTCTCTTTAAGATGCGATCAGAGTCTTATGCCCCAGGTTAGTGACGGATGCAAGTGGTAGGATAAAAAGTGGTAAGATAAAAAGGCAGGTTCAGGTTCCCATGCAACCATGTCCCAGCTGCGCAAACTCTTGCTGCACTGCCCAAGAGTGCGATAAAGATGGAGGTAAAATATAGTAATGACCATTAGCTCCATTTTCTCTACTCTTCCCTCACCACCCCTTCCCTTAAGAATATAGCAGTACTGACTGTGTGATGGTTCCAGAGGACTCCAGTCTCTGAGCAGTTGTGAGGCTCAGCGAGTGATGTAGTGTCACCTGTGGATTTAGCATGCTGACAGGGACAGGCAGATGTCCCCCTCTGATCGCAGTCCCCTAGTTATTTGATCTAACACTAATCTAGGGACGCCTGTGAAGGGACTTTGTGGCTATAATTAAGGTTATGGACCCTGAAGGTCAGGAGGTCACCTTGGATTACCTGTTGGGTGCGATCTAATCTTGAGGCTTTAAAAATGTCTCTGGCAGGAGTTGCAGAGACGGAGCAGTCAGGGAGATTCCATGTGAGAAAAACCTGGCCAGCGCTCGCTGGTTTTGAAGGAGGCGGGAGGGGGGCCAGGAGCCTGGGGATGGAGGTGGTCTCTAGAAGCCGAGAGTGACCGCTGGCCAAGAGCCAGCAGGGAAACAGTGACCCCAGTCCTCCATGTGCAAGGAGCAATTCAGCCAACAACGGGCATGAGCTTGGAAGCAGATTCATCCCCAGAGCCTCCAGAAAGGTGCACGGCCCTGCCAACACCTTGATTTCAGCCTCAGGAAACCCGAAACAAACCAGCTGAGCCACCGAGACTTCTGGCTTACAGAGCTGTGAGGTAAGAAGTTGCTGCACTCTGGACAGTTTGCGATGGCAGCAACAGAAAACACCGACCCCAAGAAGCAGACGCGACTGTCCCCCAGCGCGGGAGCAGTGGGGAGGCTGTAAGGAGGCGGGCGGCTGTCCCTAGAACACTCATTCTTGGCGGAAGCGTTTGCTACCAAGTTTATTTTATTTTAATAGCACAACAGTTACAGAACATACTTCGCGGAATCGCGTCTGCACTGCCCTTCCACACTGGGGGGCAAGAAAAGACCCAGTCCTTCCAACAGCTATAAACAGTCCTGGGCAATGAGTTTATGAACAACACTTTCCTCCTTCAGCAAGTGAAATTATTTATGAGGTTGTACAGTTCAGCAGTAGGGAGCAAAGGGAGAAGAATTACCTCAAAGAAAGCGACAGCTCCTCTCCTGGTGGGATCCTTCATTTTACAGACATGAAATATTCATATCAGAGCCCTTATTTTTAAGAGGAATGAGTTACACACTGGCGCTACAACAATAACCATCTTACTTATTACCGGTTAGAAGCCCCTCTGGACAGTGGTTCCGAGACGTGTTCTGCTGTTTCAGAGCACGGTCTTTAGAAACGAGTGGCCTCTAGTTAACCCTCTGGTTTCCCGTGCAGATCCTGTGCCTGCCTCTTGGCTTCCTCCCCAGAGCTCCACTCCAGCATCTCAGGGCTGCCCCAGGACCTTTCTGATTTCAGTCTCGTCCCAGGTCCCAGGCACTCTCCTTCCACTGAAGGGTCTGGTTCTTGGTCTTCAGGAACCCAAGGCTTTAGCCCAATGAGCTGAGGGAAGCTGGCTGTTGTCTTGAGGCCAAGCCACTCTGTGCCTCCAGCCCCGTTCCAGCAGCCCCCGTAGTAGGAGTCAGGCTGATAAATAATGCATCAGCATCTTGCTGAATTGGTGGGGTTTAAATGGTTTTATATTCCTCTCAGGTGAAAAATTACCACAGATTTGTGCTCACGGCAGATTTCAAAGGGAGATTGGAAGCAGAAAATCTTTAAGAGACCCTTGCACAGCCAGAAGTTTTTTTCAGGCTAATGTACATAAAATATTTAGGAACCGCGACTATGGGAGGACTGAAGAGTGAGGAGGGCTCTCGGGCCCGGAGAGGCTACTTCTTCAGCTTCGCCTTGGGGTCCTGCGGCTCTAGACACGTGGCCGGCTGTGCTCAGCAGCTGCTGCGGGGCTCTGTGGTATCAGGTAGGGGTCCAGCTCCTGGCACTGATAAAGGGCTATGCTGTCCAACACCCACTCTCTGCTCACCACGGATGCCGCACACATCTGTCCAATCCCTGGGGACAGGGAACACAAGCAGAGTTTAGTGTCAATTCATACTTTCCCAGACCAGACTCTAATCAATGTACTCCAGGGACCTGGCTATATGGGTTCTTAGGGTTAACCAGGTAGGAGCCAAATTCTGGCTCGTAAACAGTGCTTCAGGGTGCAGGACCTTACTCAGAACCCTAAGAAGTGAGTGCTGATGAAAGCCCACAGCCTTTGGCAATGGTATTAACACGGACTTCAATCTGTTAAAGGAAGAGCCACCAGAGAGTGAAACAGCATGGCAATTAATGATGTGGAAAAAGGAGAACAGTAGGATGAGCATGATGACATCCGTGTAAAATACACATGTGTGCATATATACACATACACACGTGCACAGATGCCTGGGGGAATTTTATGGTGATGATCTCTAAGTGGTGGGATAACTCGGGTTGTTTTATTGTTTTTGTGGTTTATCTTTTCTGTAATGAATATTTATATTTAATACTCTCCATAGAAAAAACTCATGCACTACTTTTATAAAGTAAACAATAAAAACATTTTTAAAAAGACAATTTAGCCATTCATTCATGCGGTAAATATTCACAAGGTGCTGAGAACTGCACTGCTCAAGCACTGAGAAACGAGTGGTGAACCAAGCCCACTCGACAGGAGTCCCTGTGACACAGGTCCACGCCGCTTCTTACCATGGAAGCCACCGTCCTCCGTCCAGGCATCTGGCTGCACGACCACAATCGGGTGAACTCCCTGTATCCCCGGAAGAAAGGAGCGTTGAGGATGTCAGGGCAGGACTTTGGAAGTCACTGCAAACATTTCTTGATGACTGGCTGCAGCAGACTGCTCTGGGGGCAGCCACAGGAAGGAGAGGGAATGGCATTTGGCAAGAAGGGTTAGCGGGAGACGGCCTTCTCTCAGTACGTTAAATACCTGGAGTTGCCATGTCTTACTCATGCCTCACAGATGGAGTCTCCTGGCCCAGGTATGTGGTCTGAAAAGGCTGCCGAGACTACATTAGGGGAGTCCCAGGGACAGGTGAGTGCCAGCCTTGTTCAATCGTGCCCTCCCTCCCCGGCAGGGCATGACAGACTTACTGTGCCACGGGTGAATGACGAAAGCTCCCTCACCACGGAGGCGCCACAGAGCTGTACCATCCACTCCAGTTGATCTAAAGGGGACATTAAGACCTAAAATCACCACGGCAATTTGCACACTTAACCTGAGCCCTCTATCCCATCCCATACTCCACTGGGTGAAAGCTCACAGCAAGACTTCTCAGTGGGAGACTCCCTGCCTCTCTACGCCAAAGGACAGAAAGGCCTTAAAGCAGAATTCAGACCAGGGGATGGGTTCCAAGTCAATGTGCTTACCACTGATGTGCAGCCTCCTGTACAATTATCAGTCTCCATGAGGCCACTTGGTAGATAAGGTTTGACAGTCTCTCAAATAAAACACTTAAAAACTCTAATTTCCATCAAGTGGCTAAATTGCTGGCTAAGATATTGTGTGAAAAAAATGCCTGCCTTCCCTCTCTGCATCCTGATTCTGTGTTGGTCACCGATTGTCGTGGCCAGTGAAAGCCCTGTACTTGGTGGTAATCACAGGAAGTGTCAAGTGATGGGGAGATAACTTATCCAGTCAAAAAAACACACATCATGCTGGTCAGCCCAGCACGTCCGTGGGGAAGGGGCTGCATGCGGCTGGGATCAGCGCCAAGGGAGCAGGCATCAGGAGACTGTAGATATGTTCCACCTGCACCTGGGAAACCAGAGGTGACCAGCGACATCCTCTGGGCCCCTGTGTACGTTGCTCTTTGCCAGCAGCCCACTTCGAGGTGCCGCGGAGGTGCTCCTCTGCCTGGCTGCACTGAGGTGGACTGACTCGCCCCTCAGACGACACCCGCTAGAGACTCCAGTGTGAACACACTGTGAGACAGCCTCTGGGCAACACTGGGAAATGCCATGAAATCCAATCAGTACCCAATAAGGAAGACAAGCAAAACTCCATGGCCACGCTGTCCTGCTGCCACTCATCTGCCTGTGAGCAGAAGAGCTAAGGCCTGCCTTTGAGGAGGAAGAGAGCTGAGTCCCTGGGGCAGAAGGGAGGCCCAGGAGCAGAGGGAGAAGGCCTTTCTCTTGAAAACAGTAAAGCAAATCTCTGCACACAGCCCAGGGCCTTGGCGCTCTGCACCTCCCAAGCTGGGACCCATAGCAATCCTAGACACAATATCACACTCAATGTCAAATTTAACTAGAAAATGCTCATCAAGAGTCTTCTGCTCTGGCCCCGAGGGGAGCTCCAGACCCATGGGGCTTATGCTGCTGCCGCACTTTCTCTCCGTTAGACAGATGGTTCAGCGAGAGTAAACCACTTGCTTGGCGTTTACACACCCCAAGATATCGTCTCCCTAATTTATTAGCCCTCCTATCTTGGGCAATACAGGAGTTCTACCCTGTCTGAGCAGAGAACATTTTGGGTCCTAGAACCTAACTCATCACTGCCCTCATGCTCATGAGAAGCACAATCTAGCCTTTTGCCACCAGATAACTTCTGGGTGCAATTCTGTCTGGGAGAGCAGTAAAGAAACAGAGCGATGTCTGGAAAATCTCACCACTTTGAGGAAGACCCATAAGGTGATCGCACCTGTGACATTCCGCTATGTGAGAGAAAGGCAGGTGCTGGAACCCTGCAGCTCTCCCAGGCTCTTACCTGTGGGCATGTTGGTATAGGGCCCATAGCAACAGATTTCTAAGCCCCTGAAGATCTAGAAGAGTGGAAGAGAAATGGGGATGGGGAAAGAAACACTAGTTATCAGTGATTATGGAATTTCACCAAAAATACAGAGAAACTCCCCAAAAGGAGTAACTTTTCTTTACCACCTTTTCTTTACTACCATTTCCACTATTTCCCGGAGAGAGACGCTGATGGATTTCAGACTTTTCTGGAGGGCGCATGGAAGTGATCGACACTCTGTTGTCCTGTTATTCAAGGGCTGAGCACCCCACTTTGTCAAGCCAGTCAGGCCCTGGCTCTTCCCTGACAACCTTTGCGGTGATTTCACTTCTTTGGAAGAAAAACTGACCCTTTTTTGTTTAATTAAAGGTGTCAGTGTGGTTTAGTGGGTAAAGCCACCGCCTGCAGTGTCAGCATCCCATGTGGGCACGGGTTTGAATCCCTGCTGCTCCACTTCCGATCCAGCTCTCTGCTATGGCCTGGGAAAGCAGTAGAAGATGGCCCAAGTCCTTGGGCTCCTGCACCCGAATGGGAGACCCAGAAGAAGCTCCTGGCTCCTGGCTTCAGATCGGCCCAGCTCTGGCTGTTGCGGCCAATTGGGGAGTGAACCAGCGGATGGAAGACCTCTCTCTCTTCTGTGAAACTCCGACTTTCAAATAAATAAATCTTAAAAAATTAAAATAAAAAAAAATTAAAGGTGACAAGAAACTCAAAGCTACTGGCTGAAGTGTGATGTTTATCCAGACTAGGAACACCAACATTCAACATGCGCTCAGTCGGCAGAGCAGTCTATGGTTGCTCACGCTGCTCTGAGAATGGTCACTGCGTCTTTAGACGCCTAAGCAGTTTTTAATGTAGAAGAGAAACCTGGTTTGGCCGCCTGTCCATTGAACTGATTTCAGTGCCTGGTGTCTTGAAGACCCACATCACACTGCACCTCCCAGAGGCCTTCCCACTCCCAGCGGAAAGAACTTTCTGTGACGTTGGAAATGTCCTGCATCTACATTAATAAGGCAGCCTGGAGTCATATGTCGTTGTTGTACACTTGAAATGCAGTTAAGGTGAGTGAGGATTGAATTTCATATTTTAGTTACTTTTTAAAAGATTATTTATTTGAAAGGTAAAGCAATGGAGAGGGAGAGATCTTCTATCTGCTGCTTCACTCCTCCAGTGCCTGCAACAGCCTAGGCTGGGTTACACTAAGTCCAGGAGTCTGGAACTCTGCTGGGTCTCCCACATGGGTGACAGGAACCCAGTACTTACACCACCATCTGCTGTCCCTCAGGGTGTGCATTAGAAGGCAGCTAGATAGGGGCCGGCGCCGCGGCTCACTAGGCTAATCATCCGCCTAGCGGCACCGGCACACCGGGTTCTAGTCCCGGTTGGGGCGCCAGATTCTGTCCCGGTTGCCCCTCTTCCAGGCCAGCCCTCTGCTGTGGCCAGGGAGTGCAGTGGAGGATGGCCCAGGTGCTTGGGCCCTGCACCCCATGGGAGACCAGGAAAAGCACCTGGCTCCTGGCTCCTGCCATCGGATCAGCGCAGTGCGCCGGCCGCGGCGGCCATTGGAGGGTGAACCAACGGCAAAAGGAAGACCTTTCTCTCTGTCTCTCTCTCTCACTGTCCACTCTGCCTGTCAAAAAAAAAAAAAAGTTAAAAAAAAAAAAAAGAAAAAGAAAAAAGAAGGCAGCTAGATAGGAAGAAGAGATGGGACTCGATCCCAGGCGATGCAGACACCTCAAATGGCAGATTAACTCACTGTGCCACGATACCCACCTGTCATTTTTTAAACAAAATATTTATTTGAAAGAGTTACAGAGAGGGAGAGACAGATCTTCCACCCATTGGTTCATTTCCCAGATGGCCACAATGGCCAATGCTGGGCCAGGTTGAAGCCAGGAGCTTCACCTGGGTCTCCCACATGAGTGGCAGGGGCCGAAATACTCAGGCTGTCTTCCACTGCCTTTCCCAAGTCATTAGCAGGGAGCTGGATTGGAAGTGGTACAGCTGGGACACAAATTGGTGCCCATATGGGATGCTGGCATTCCAGATGGCGGCTTTACCTGCCACGCCACAACTCTGGCCCCCTGCCTGTCACGTTTAAATTTTAAAAATTAAATCTAAATCACTATTATATAGCTGGAGGCAACTCTGTTGGACAGTGCCAATGCTTATGCACACACTGGCAGAGGTTTTTAGGAAAGGACTTGGCTATCATCTAAAAGAAACCTTCGTTCTGGGAGTAGAAGTTTAGCCTAGCAGTTGATATGCCCATGTCCCACACTGGAGTACGTCGGTTTGATTCCTGGATCTGGCTCCTAACTCGTTTCCTGCTAAAACAGATCTTGGGAAGCAGCTATGATAGCGAAAGCAGCTGAGTCCCTGGCACCCATGTGGGAGACCTGGATGGAGTTCCTGCTCCCAGAGGTGGCCCTAGCCTTCGTGGGCACTTGAGTGAACAGGTAAGGGCTCTGTCTCCCCAACCACTTTCTAGCCAGAGGAAATGGAAAGGACAGTTGGACCAGCCTGCTCCTGTTTTAAGTGAGAGCCTGACCCAGGTCACTCACTCTGTGTACGTATACGGCAACCCCCAACCCGTTGACAGGACTCCAGTGCTCATTATGCTAAAAGTTCTCCAAAGGTAGCCAGGTGCAGCCAAAGCTGCATGAAAGGTATTAGGCACTTTTATATCCAGGCTGACACTCACTGATGAGATAAGAAGTTTGAGGTTTTACCTCTACAGATACATTTCTCTTCCAGAGCAAAATACTACGGTGGCATTTATTTTATTTATCTTTTAAGGATTTATTTATTTATTTATTTATCTGAAAGTCAGAATTGCAGAGAGAGGGAGAGACAGAGTTCTTCTTTCCGTTCACTACTCAAATGGCCTCAATGGCCAGGACTGGGTCAGGCCAAAGCAGGAGTCTGGAGCCTCACCCGGGTCTCCCACACGGGTACAGGGGCTCAAGTACTTGAACCATCTTCTGCTACTTTTCTTTTTCTTTCTATTTGACAGAGTTAGAGAGAGAGAGAGAGAGAGAGAGAGAGACAGAGACAGAAAGGTCTTCCTTCCGTTGGTTCACCCCTCAAATGGCTGCTACGGCCAGAGCTACGCCAATCCAAAGCCAGGAGTCAGGTACTTCCTCCTGGTCTCCCATGAGGGCGCAGCGGTCCAAGCACTTGGGCCATCTTCCACTGTCTTCCTGGGCCACAGCAGAGAGCTGGACTGGAAGAGGAGCAACTGGGACTCAAACTGGCGCCCATATGGGATGCTGGCACTATAGGCAGTGGCTCTACCTGCTACGCCACAGCACCAGTTCCTTCTGTAACTTTTCCAGAAACCACGGTACCGTCATTAAGACTTGGGGGTGGAAGTTTGGTGCAGTGGTTAACGCGCCACTTGAACACCTGCATCTCATGTTACAGTGTGTGGAGTCCTGCTTCCTCTACTACTGATCCAGGTTCTTGTTAATGTGGACCTTGGGAGATAGCAGGTGACGGCTCAAGTACTTGGGTCCCTGCCACCCACAAGGGAGACCCAGACTGAGTTCTGGGTGCCTGGCTTTAGTCTGGCTTAGCCCTGGCTGCTGTAGGCATTTGTGGAGTGAACCAGCAGATAGAGGTGAGTCTTCTCTCTTCTGTTTTACCATCTTTCAAATAAAAGGAAAAGAAATCAAAATTTAGAGTTTAGACTTGGCGTTAGACTGTATGGATTTAACTTCTAGTTCTATCACTCACAAACTGTGGGACTCTGCGCAACTTAACCTGTATCTTAATTCTCTCATCTGGAAAATGTGCTTACAGTAAACTGCATAGGGTAAAATTGTCTATGGTTGAGTGCTTAGAGCAGTCCCTGGCATATAGTGGACATTAGATAATTGGTAGCTATTGATTATTAAATAATTTTTTTTTATCCTTTCAGACAGCACTGTGCATACCACACGCACAGCACTTACCACACTCCTTTAGAGAAAGACATCATGGTGAGGTAGAAAGAGCAAGGCTTTAGATTCACATGTTTAGAATTCCAGCTCTGGGATGGGTGCTTGGCACAGTGTCTTAGGTTCCACTCATGATACCGGTATCCCTTATCAGAGTACTGGGTTCAAGTCCCAGCTACTTGGCTTACAGATCTAGATTCCTGCTAATATGTACCAAGGGGATAGCAGGTGATGACTCAGGTAGGTGGGCCCCTGCTGCCCACTTGGGAGACCCAGACTAACCTCCTGTCTCCTGTCTCAGCCTGGCCCAGCTCTGGCTGTTGTGGGTATTTGGGGAGTAAACCAGTGGATTGGAGAGACTGGTCTTCCAAACAAACAAACAGAAATAAATAAAAAATAAAATCCTAGCTCTGCCACTGATCATCTGAGAGTCGAATCCCAGAGTGGAATCTAAATTACAAACCTTCTCTAAACCTCCAAGTCCCCTCATTCATAAAACAAAGACAGTATTTACTTACCTGGTTTGGATAGGCTTGGAGAAATGAAAAACAAACAAACAGAAAAACCCCAGTCTCTGTGGAAGTGCCTAGCTCACGCTAGGTGTGGTGAGCCTTAGATGATGAAAGTCAAAGACCATCTCTGGGAATGGGGTTGGGATGCAAAGCAGTGTTTGTTGTCCCCCCCCACCCCCGCTACCCCACAGGAGGAGGGGAAAGTCACCTTTCTGTCCTGGGATTCTCTCGCTCGCTTCGGACCCTGGTGGTTTCTTCCGTTGACGACATCACCTCTGACTTCAAAATCATGCTGAAAGAGACCACAGTCAAACCACGGGGTCAGAGAGAAGCCTCCTTCAATGGAAATGGAGCAGACGTGTTATATTTAAGGCACTTAGAATCACTGGACAGAATTTTGACTGAAAGTAAATAAAATCATTCTTTTTGGTGGGACTGGGTGAAATGACCAGGATTGAATCTGCGGAAGTCAATTCACTGGAGCATGGGGCGCATCTCTGTGTGCAGAAATTAGCAACGGGCTTTCACCTCACTGGGACTCCGTGTATTTTAGTTTTCAACATCTATCTCCTCTCAAAACATTCACTTAGCATTTAGATTAAACTGCTAATCCTGTGCTGTTATAGAGATAACTGGAGAATTCCCGATCTCTTAAATCAATTGTATATTACCATCTAAAGAAATAAGGGCTTTTCAGATTTCCATTGAGAGATTCACACAGTTAATGAAGCCAGAATGATAAAATATACATTTAATACACCGAAGAAAGTTAGAGGTTTTTCATAATCATTATTTTTGACTGATCAAGGTCAAGAGAATAAAGAATAATGGGACTGGGGAGGTTAGGGTTTTCAGGAGAAATCTGAAAAAGAATGCTTTTTTTAAAAAATTTGACAGGTAGAGTTACAGACAGTGAGAGAGAGAGAGAGAGACAGAAAGAAAGCTCTTCCTTCTGTTGGTTCACTCCAAAATGGCCGCTACGGCCGGCGCTGTGTTGATCCGAAGCCAGGAGCCAGGAGCTTCTTCCTGGTGTCCCATGTGGGTGCAGGGCCCAAGCACTTGGGCCATCCTCCACTGCCTTCCCGGGCCACAGCAGAGAGCTGGCCTGGAAGAGGGGCAACCGGGACTAGAACCCGGCGCCCATATGGGCTGCCGGCGCTGCAGGCAGAGGATTAACCTAGTGAGCCATGCACCGGCCCTAGGAAGAATGCTTACAAATAATTCTGACTGAAACTTAGCTTGTAGAGAAGACTGCATGTACCGCCAAGAGTATTATGAAGAGGAATTAAAAGCAAGAACGTACCCACAGCCCGTGACTAAGGGAAACAACACTTAGCATTCTCTAGTCACCTGCAGGAAGAGTCTAGTGATAAGGTCATCACTTATTTGAAGATGACTCTCACCCCTCCCCGCCCTCCCTCCTCCTAACACGTTCTTCCTCCCCATCCTCTCCACTCATTCACTATTACTAACACCCTCCCGTAGTTCAGCCCAAAAGCCCAGGAGTCATCTCTCGATTTTCTCTCCTTACTTCAGCCTCCAACCTCCTGTCTAGACCCCGCCCCCACAGCTGCCACTCTCCAGCTACACTGGTCTACTTTCTTTACCAAACCAAACTCATTCCAACCGTAAGACCTGCATGCTTGCTGTTCTCCCTCTAGTAACACTTGTTCCCACATGTCTCAAGAACTCTTTCTTGGCCGGCGCTGCGGCTCACTAGGCTAATCCTCCACCTAGTGGCACCGGCACACCGGGTTCTAGTCCCGGTCGGGGCGCCGGATTCTATCCCGGTTGCCCCTCTTCCAGGCCAGCTCTCTGCTGTGGCCCGGGAATGCAGTGGAGGATGGCCCAAGTGCTTGGGCCCTGCACCCCATGGGAGACCAGGAGAAGTGCTTGGCTCCTGCCTTTGGATCAGCTCAGTGCGCCAGCCGCAGCGCGCCAGCCGTGGTGGCCATTGGAGGGTGAACCAACGGAAAAAGGAAGACCTTTCTCTCTGTCTCTCTCTCTCCCTGTCCATTCTGCCTGTCAAAAAAAAAGAAGAAAAAAAAAAAAAACTCTTTCTTATCACTTAGATTTCAGCTCATTATTTCCCAAAAGGCCTTTCCTGCATTCCTTAACTAAAGCAGTAGATCTCTGGGGCCAGCACCGTGGCCTAGTGGGTAAAGCCGCTACCTGCAGTGCTGGCAGGCATACCATATGGGCGCCAGTTCAACTCCCAGCTGCTCCACTTCCGATCCAGCTCTCTGCTGTGGCCTGGGAAAGCAGTGGAGGATGGCCCAAGTCCTTGGGTCCCTGTACCCACGTGGGAGACCTGGGAGAAACTCCTGGCTCCTGGTTTCAGATTGGTGCAGCTCCAGCTGTTGTGGCCAATTGGGGAGTGAACCAGCGGATGGAAGACCTCTCTCTCTCTGCCTCTCTGTACCTCTGACTTTCAAATAAATTAATAAACCTTTAAAAAAAAATAGTCAATCTCAGTTCTCTACCAGTTGCTAACCTGTTATCTTGTGTATTGCTTTATAGCATTCATTAATATCCTAAATTTTTCTGTATTTTTTGTGTATCACTTCTCAGTAGAACATGAATCCCACTAGAGTTGGGGTTGTTTACTGTACTGTCAATTCCTAATGCACATAGTAGGTTCTTCCAAATAGTCAATAAATGAAAGTGAAACCAACAAAAATGTCATTTAATTCAAAATACTGAAGAACGTGTAACAGTTTAAAACTGCTTTCGCTAATTTTATGTTGTCTACCTCTTGTTACCAGCAGCTCTTGGATGGCTGTTCTAAAATTATTCCTCCTCCTACACTCTTATTTACCTCTCACTGTTCTCAGTAGCATAAAGAGCAACATCTCTTCGAAGGAATCTGATTTCTGGACAGATACACATGCATATCCATATGAAAGATTTCTCCTCAACAATGCCTGTTTTTTGTCCTGGTGAATCCTTTCCCTCTGCTCGATAAACTCCTTTCCTTGCCTTTTTTTTTTTCTTCTTTTTTTACTATGTGTCTCAGTGGCATCAGGTCTCTCTGATTCGGCTGTAACATCAAGTACCTACCTCATCCAGTATCTTTCTTTCTTTAATTGACTGGGTCACCCCTAAAGAGACCACATAAAAGACAGGTCACAAAGAGCAGAAGCACAAACTCTTCTTACAGGGCTGGAGTTCAGCAAATCACTAAGGGAGTGTGGGAATAACCTCAGGTCTTCTCCCTCTAAAGCCACAGCTCTTTTAATATGGCTGTGCCAGAGATTCAATACTTTATTTAAACATTATAAAACTGCCTGCTGCACACGAATCTCTTCCCACTATTAAATAATCCCCTAGTTCATATGCTAACATTGCTAGGGGCAGATTAGGTCCTATTAGTTATAAAAGAAATCCATTTCCCAACATCACCAGCTTATCTGAACAAAGTGATGTGCATTAAAGATAAGCTAGTTTTGTGTTACTATTAAAGACCTTTTGGTATTTCAGAATCAGGAACAGAGAAAACTTCAGGTGTTAAAATGTTAGGTGTAAAACTAATTCCGAAGTGTTAAAGGAAGAGGGGAGAAACTGTACTGTACTTACAGAAATAGCTAACTACCCACTTTCCTCCTGCAATCCCCAGAAAATATTTCAGTGTCCGTTCACACACAAATTCAGCATCTGTAGAATGAAAAACATCCAAAGGATTAGAAGAAGAAAACAAAACCGGGAAGTGCTTTCGTAAGAACCTAAATAACCCAACCTCTTTTTGCTCTCAAGATCAATCTGGATGGATGACTCTGACACTCCTGGTGACAGAATCAGAGGCTGGAAGCACCACTAACTATAAGAAGCAGGTGTGGATCTTTGGAAGCCTGGAAGAGGCAAATATAAACTTAGGGTCAGAGGAAGAGTCTGCCCATCTTCTAGATGCCAACACAAGCTTAAGATGTCCATTGTCACGTCTGAGGATTTATCCATGTCAGTTGCACTGATTCATAAGGATGGAGAACATCTACTTTTTGGGATGGTTGATATGTCAAAGAAGAAAATAGTATTGTAGAAATCCTAAATCTGAAATGTCAATGTAAGTGACAAATTTTCATCCCGAGAAATCCTAACCCTCCAATATTCTCGAGAGGGACAGGAAAAATACGAAGTAGTTTCATGGATTTTCTCTCCTACATAAATATTTCAGAAACTAGTAGCTGAAAAATCACTTCTGTTTGTTTCCTAGTGTTTCAAAGGCCCTTTTGAAGAACTAAGCAAACTGAGAAAGGGCCATTTAGTTTTAAACAGGAGAAATGTATTTAAATCCTAAACACAGCAGGCTGTCTGCAAGTGTAGCAGCAGCCATTCTCCCTTAGAATTCCTCATAATTTCTGAAGGTTTTTGTTTAACTGATGCAAAAGCGGATTTAATAGCATGCTTAAACTTAGAAATTTTATCTCATTTTTATTTCCAAAGTAGTGAATGTTGTATTGTCTTTGAGTTTAAATATTGAACTACTTTAGGTTTAATTTGCATTTGAAAGCTTTCGTTTCACCTTTCATCAGCTTTGACCCAAACCTACAGCTTAAGATATATTAAATGTTAATGACATTCATCTCTAAAGTAGTAATTAGTTTGTGGTTCCTTGTTCTGACACCTGATTCCAACGAGTCCCACTTTCTGACCCTGTGATGCTGTGGAAACCTAAGACTTCAGAGGTTTTAATGAAACGTGCACAAGGGGTTTGGAGTCTCTGCTGGAGCACCTGCAGCTCTGTAGGCAGACATCCCGATGTAGGCACAGTGTGCTCAGAGAACCTATTTTGTAGAAAGGTTTTGGAGCTGAGCCATGGTAAACATCTCCTGCATCCTCCATGGTCTTTGTCTCCTTTCTGGAGCCCCATGAGTGTATAACTCTTCTTTCAGGTAACAATTCTTTAACTATCTGAGAACAGTTGTCAGCTGTCTTATTCTCTAAAGTCTTTTCATTCCTTCATTTTCTCTTTGAATGAAATTGAGTTCTTTCCCCCATCTTCGCCTGGATACATTCTCCAGTTTGTCAGTGATTGTCTTAACCCATTATGTACAATCACCCTGTTAGGGCACCTATAAAGACTTACCATTTATAGTAACTTTGAAATAAATATTATGTCATTGAAATATTTGCAGAATTGGTGGCCAGAGTTATGCTGCAGCCAGTTAAGCTGCTGCCTGCAATGCCAGCACCCATATGAGAGCTGGTTCATGTCCCAGCTGCTCCATTTCAGATCCAGCTCCCTGCTAATGGGCCTGGGAAAGCAGAAGATGATCCAAGTCCTTGGACCCCTGCATCCATGTGGGAGACCTGGAAGGAGCTCCAGGCTCCTGGCTTTGCCTGACCCAGCCCCAGCCTTGGCAGCTATTGGGGGAATGAACCAAAGGGTAGATCTCTGTCTCCGTCTCATTCTCTGTAACTTTGCCTTCCAAATAAATAAATGAATCTTTCAGTTTGCAGAATTGAAAACTTGGGAGTTAATTAAAAAGACAGCCCAGGGCTCAGAGCAGAGGACAGTTTCGTTCAGGCATCCCTCTGGTAGAAAGCCAGGAGCCAAGAATTTCATTCGAGTCTCCCACATGGGTGGCAGGGGTTCAAGGACTTGGGCCATCTTCCACTGCTTTCCCAGGTACTTTAGTAGGAAGCTGGATTGGAAGTGGAGCAGCAGGAAATCAAATGGGCACTCTTATGAAATGCCAGCATCATCGGCAGCGGCTTAACCTGCTCACCACAATGCTGGCCCCAGGCATTCAGTAGCCCTGAATGTTTACTCAGATTTAGGTTATATCAACTAAAAATTCCCAGAGGTCTCTTTTATCACACAAACCACAATTAAGATTTAAAAAGTGGGAGGGGGAGGGACGGCGGCACTGTGGCGTAGTTGGTAAAGCCGCTGCCTGCAGCGCCAGCATCCCATATAGATGCCGGTTTGAGTCTCAGCTGCTCTACTTCTGATCCAGCTCTGTGCGATGGCCTGGGAAAGCAGTACAAGATGGCCCAAGTCCTTGGGCCCCTGAACCATGTGGGAGACCTGGAGGAAGCTCCTGGCTCCTGGCTTCAGATGGGTGCAGCTCCAGCTGTTGCAGCCAATTGGGGAGTGAACCAGCAGGGATGGAAGACCTTTCTCTCTTTCTCTGCCTCTCCTTCTCTCTCTGTGTAACTCTTTCAAATAAATACATCTTTAAAAAAAAAAAAAAAAAGATGAAGGAAGAGATAGGTGTTTGGCTTAGCAGATAAGCCACCCACATGGGTTTGAGTCCCTGCGTTTGACACCTGCTTCCAGCTCCTGACTACAGCTTCCTGCTAATACAGACCCATGAGCAGCAGTGACAGCTCAATTGGGCTCCTACCACACACGGGGGACCTGGATTTTCTCGGCTCCCAGCTTTGTCCTCAGTCCAGCCCTGACTGACCCTAGCATTTGGAGAATGAATCAGCATATGAGAGTTCTCACCGTTTCTATTTCTCAAATAAATAATTAAGTAGGGTATTGTGGTGCAGTGGGTTAAGCCATCACTTGGGATGGATGAATCCCATATGGAAGTGCCTGAGATTGAGTCTTGCCTCTACCTCTGCTTTGGATCCAGCTTTCTGTTAATGTGCTTGGGAGGCAGCAGATGGAGTTCCTGGCTCCTGGCTTTGGCTTGGCCGAGCCCCAGCTGTTGTGGGCATTTGAGGAGTAAACCAGCAGATGGAAAACCCCTCCCCTTGTCACTCTGCCTTTCAAATAAAAATGAACGAATAAACATGTTTTTACATGGTAGGGCTGTTTCAGAGCTACTGAAGTGTCTTCCTGAAAAACTCTCAACAGCACTTTAACCGTGTGGTACATGGAGCTAGGGTCTCCAGATTTGAGTGAAGATTCACTTCTGCCCCATTCCCTCTTGCCTCAGTTGTTCTTCTAGGACTTAGGCCCTGGCTCATCAGAAAGGCTTTCAGTCAGTGCAGTCCAGGCAGGAAGACAGGAAGTGGCTCATTGTTCTGGTTCAACATGCCAAATCTTAAGCTAAAGCAAAAGGGTGGAGGAGGTAGTAAAAACGCATTTGTTTTTCATAAAGTAGTAACTGATGGGTTACTGGGAGACTATCACTCATGCTGTGCTTAACAAACATAGGTTGAGTATCCCTTTCCAAGATGCTTGGGACCAGACTGTTTCAGATTTTGGAATATTTGCATATTCAATATACAAGCTATCTTGGTGATGGAATCCAAATCTAAACATGAAATTCATTTAGGTTTGATACATACCTTATACACATAACCTGAAGGTAATTTTATAAAATATTTTGGATTTTCAGATTAGGGATGCTCAATCTATGTTCCTATTTTTTTAATGTGGTTTTATGCAGCAGATGTAACATATTCTATAAAGGTTCTTGGTATACCTGTTTTCATAATGACATGAGTAGTCTCTTCAGTAATTACATTAGTTAAAGTGATGTGGTATTTTCTGGCAAACTTGTGCACAAGCATCTGAAATCAAATAAAATACTGCATTATAAGAAAGTAACTCCAGTACACATCTTAAAGTATTAGTTATCCTTGTTTTGAATTTCCATTTTTCTAAGATATGCCTTTTTTTATTACACCATGAGTCAAGTCTCAACGTGAATAATTTAATAAAAATTATGTACAAATCAGAGGAAGATACTGTAATATAGTCTCTGCTAGCAAACAAGGAACTACAACCCAGGATTCAAAATATTAATTTTGCCTTTAATAGCAGATATCATTTGATTTTCTAAAACAGTGTCATTGTATAGGGACACTCTAGCACAACTTAGATTTATCAGCTTACACTTTATAAGCCTGCATAAAAAGCTATGTTATAGATCTATGTAGCTTAAAATGAAGATTCAAGTGCTGCTGTCGTGGCATGGTGGTTAGGTTGCTGCTTGCAAGGCCAATTAGAGTCCTGGCTGCTGTATTTTTGATCCAGCTTCCTGCCTGGGAAAGCAGTGGTTGACCACTCAAGTACTTGGGTCCCTGCCACCCATGTGGAAGACCCAGATGGAATTCTGAGCTCTTGCCGTCAGCCTGGCCCACCTCTAACTATTGCTGGCATTTGAGGAGTGAACCAGCAGGTAGAAATCGCTCTCTCTTTTTGTCATTCTGCCTTTTGAATAAATAAATAAATCTTTTAAAAAGAAAAAAAAAAAAAGCTGGTTCAACTCTGATAGTTACAAAATGGTCAAGTGAAGATGCTCCTACAGGTAAGGACAAAAACTACCAATTCTCTCTCAAGGAATGAGAGACTCGTATTCTTCCCAAAATAAATCTGAAGTCCTCTAGTTATTATCTATCAACCAAATGAAAATCAATGAGCACAGCTGGCATAACTGGTAGCTACTCTTTGGTAAATAACTTTATCAAGAGCCATCCTTTCCTAGCCATGGCCACTCACATCCATATTTATGTGCTGCACAGCATTGCAATGGAGGTCACCCATCTTTCTTCATGCTGCCTTACTCCATACTGACATGGGGCACTGAGAAAAAGCAGGCTGGAGCTAACGACATCCTCCTCCTTTTGCCAATGCCCTCTGCCAGGATCATTAGCAATTCTGAACTGATTAATTACTGAAATCCCAGCCTTGAGACAGTGCTCAGTTAGAAGAGCAACTGCTGAAAAGATCATCTTAATATGGACTTTGGAATTAATCATGTGTAATACAGTCAGTAGCTTTCATCATAAATTTACCACACTTCAGCAGGTCTGAATAGAGCTCAAAGTTTTCCTTGCTGCTTGTTTAAAGACAACACATACCCAAGCCCCTTGTAGTCCAATCTGTAACTCAGAATTGCCCATGGCAAGAAAGATTATACCATTTTAGTCACCTTTGAGATGCTGAACCCGCAGAACAAAGGAATAAGGAAAGCTAATTTTCAGTGAATAAATGGGAGTTCTAGCTATGCAGAGAACTGATCAAGAGCCATTTAAACGGACACAGGTTCAGAATTTTTAGAGCAAATTGCTGGTGTAGGCATGGAACTGTAAGCTGAGAATGTTAACAGCCGTGTATCTCCCAGGGTGGACACAGCTCACTTTACCCTTTCTACAGAGGGATACACCTAGTCATAGAGAACATTAAGCTGAGTCACCTCTGAGGGAGAACTGAGGATGAGAAGTTGTTCTTAACCTAAGAATGATGTATTAGTAAAAATATTTCAGAATTACTCAGTTACCTCTCAGCCTGCAAGACACAGCACCCATTATTGAATCCATCTGACAGTCTTGGGTGTTAACATGTTTTAAAGAAATATTCACTCAACTATTTTGTTATTAAGTGACATGAATGGCAATTAATTACAGGGAAAGCAAATTTCCTAGGATGTCTGAAATCTGTAAGCAGCTCAAGCAGAAATAAGGTTTCAGTGGTCTTAATATTTCAATGGTTATTTTTCCATGTATTAAACAATTCCCATTTCTGGCATGAAATTCCCATTTTGGCCCACGAAATGCCAAAATCCTAATAGCAAAAGGTGCTGTAGGGTAGAAACGACAGGGCAGGCTATTGAATAACTTGTCTTACAAGCCAGGATAAAGACAAACACACACTGGAGACATGCCAGTGTCTGGCAGTATGCGTGGAACCAGTCTGGATTTTGTTAAACATGCTGGTAAGTTTACTCAGTTGTGAACCAAAGGAGGAAAAAGATGCCTACTTGCTTCACTAGACAAAAGAAATTCAAATTCAAAAGCTCATGGGGCGGTGTGGTATAGCAGGTAAAGCTGCTGCGTGCTACACCAGTGTCCCATTTGGGCACTGGTTATAGTCCCAGTTGTTCCACTTCCCATCCAACTCCCTGCTAATGGCTTGAGAAGGCAGTGGAGGGATGGGCCAAGTGCTTGGGTCCCTGCACCCATGTGGGAGACACAGAAGAAGCTCCTGACTCCTGGCTTCAGCCCAGCCCAGCCCAGCCCTGGCTATTGAGGCCATCTGGGGAGTGAATGAGCAGATGGAAAATCTCTCTCTCTCTCTCTCTGTAACTCTGATTTTCAAATAAATAAATAATTTTTTAAAAGACTTTTTTATCCATTTGAAAGTCAGAGTTACACAGAGAAGGAGAGGCAGAGAGAGAGAGAGAGAGAGATGTCTTCCATCTGCTGGTTCACTCCCCAACTGGCTGCAACAGCCAGAGCTGAGCTGATCCGAAGCCATAAGCCAGAAGCTTCCTTTGGATCTCCCACTTGGGTGCAGGGACCCAAGGACTTGGGCCATCTTCTACTGCTTTCCCAGGCCATAGCAGAATCGGAAGTGGAGCACCCGAGTCTTGACTTACCACCCATATGGGATACTGACACCACAGGCGGTAACTTAACCAGCTACGCCACAGTGCTGGCCCCAGTACATGAATCTTAAAAAAAAAAAAAAGCTCTATATTAGACCCCAAAGTAAAGTATACCTTTTTGTTAATATTTAATAATTATTTTCTCAAGTAATAGGAAAAACAATCCATACTATAGTCTTACCTAGATGCAAATTTTCATAATTTAGTAATGGAAATTAAATTACATAGAATTGTGCTTGTTTCCCAGATTTCTTCCCTTATTCATTTTTCACACCCCACACAAAACTATCTGCAGCACATAACATTAAATATTACAGGGAAATATATGGATACACTCACAAATTCTTTTGGGGTCAAGCCTGATACCACCATGGATATTCCCTTGTTGATCCTTTCTGTTGAGGATATTGATTCTGGCTTATCCAAGCTTAAACTTTCTTCCTTGGAACTGCATCCAGCACTATCGTTAGCTGGACTCTGGACAGATTCTGCAACCTGAAATTGGGGTAACTTCAGTGTAGATCGTGAATCTGGTGAGCTGCACACAGGAGCTGGCCCGGGGGCTCTGTCCTCAGCAGGAGCAGATTCAGGGTCAGAGAAGAGGCTGATTCCAGATTCCAAGTAAGGGGTGCCCTCTGAAAGGAACGGAAAAAGGAGGTTAATCTACGTGACAATGAATCTTGAATCACAACTGTCCTGTCTCTGCAAAGAAGTCAAACGACCAATGAAGTTAGGGTAAAAGGAAAGGAATGCACTGATACACTGCTGGTGGGACTGCGCCTTACCTTTTCTGAAGGACACTGCTGTTACCCAGCAAAACCCTTACCAGGTGTTTATACTTCTAGTCAACAATTCCCGTTTTAGAAGCATACAGAATTATAAGGAAATGAAGGATGTTTGCAAAGGTTTAGTTATAGGAATGTTCATTGTAACACTGTATAATAGTAATTTTAGAATAACCCAGATATCCCATAATAGGATATTAAACAAACTGTGATGCATCTATTTCAATGGAGTTTTCCTTGCTCATTATAGTTTATTTATTTATTTATTTATTTATTTTTTGACAGGCAGAGTGGACAGTGAGAGAGAGAGACAGAGAGAAAGGTCTTCCTTTGCCGTTGGTTCACCCTCCAATGGCCGCCGCGGCCAGCGCGCTGCGGCCGGCGCACCGCGCTGATCCGATGGCAGGAGCCAGGAGCCAGGTGCTTCTCCTGGTCTTCCATGGGGTGCAGGGCCCAAGCACTTGGGCCATCCTCCACTGCACTCCCTGGCCACAGCAGAGAGCTGGCCTGGAAGAGGGGCAACCGGGACAGAATCCGGCGCCCCGACCGGGACTAGAACCCGGTGTGCCGGCGCCGCTAGGCGGAGGATTAGCCTAGTGAGCCGCGGCGCCGGCCCGCTCATTATAGTTTAAACACTGATGTACAATAAGACAGAGTAATGTTCCTAATATATTGAAGATGAAAAATATTATCCTGGTAATATTTTAAAATCTAAAGCATAACTAAAACGACTAAAGAGGGACAGTGAGCCAAGCAGCTGCCTGTGAGGCATGCATCCCAGGTAGAGTGCCGTTTCGAGTCCCAGATGCTCCACTTCTTTTTTCTTTTTAAGCTTTAATTTTTTAAAAAATATTTATTTATTTATTGGAAAGGCAAAGTTACAGAGAGAGGGGGAGAGAGAGATCAGTTGATCTCCCATCTGCTGGTTCACTCCCCAAATGGCTGCAGTGGTCAGGGCTGGGCCAGGCCGAAGTCAGGGATGCTCTACTTCTGATCCAGCTCCCTACTAACTGTGCCTGGGAAAGCAGCAGGGGACGGCCCACGCACCCACATGGGTAGGATGCTACCCACCTGGGAGACCTGGATGGAGTTCCAGCGTGCTGGCTTTGGCCTGGACAAGCCCCGGCTTTGCACCCTTTGGGGGCTGCCAGCAGAAGGAGCTCGCTCTCTCTCCCTGTCATTGCTCCTTTCAAAGAAGTAATAAATCTTTTTGAAAAATAACTAAAGAAAGATAGTAATATCTTGCTGTTAACTGATATACTTGAGCTATTTTCTGTTGCTTTCCCAGGTACATGAGAGGGGAGCTGGATGCAGAGTGGTGGAGCAGCTGGGATTTGAATCAGTGCTCATATGGGATGCCAGCCACAGCTGCACAATGCCAGTCCCTGTATGAGATTCTTAAAATGCCCCTAATGAACATGACCAGATACCACATTTGAGGTCAGATAGCACCTTTTATGATAATGTATTTTTGAGAATTAATTTAAAGCTTTCATTACTGATTAAAACTTTGATTTACAAGCCATAAACCACACTACTCATTAAAGTGATTTTTTTTTATTAACATTTTTTATTTTATTTTTGACAGGCAGAGTAGACAGTGAGAGAGAGAGACAGAGAGAGAAAGGTCTTCCTTTGCCGTTGGTTCACCCTCCAATGGCCGCCGCTGCAGCCGGCGCACCGCGCTGATCCGATGGCAGGAGCCAGGATCCAGGTGCTTTTCCTGGTCTCCCATGGGGTGCAGGGCCCAAGCACCTGGGCCATCCTCCACTGCACTCCCTGGCCATAGCAGAGAGCTGGCCTGGAAGAGGGGCAACTGGGACAGAATCCGGTGCCCCAACTGGGACTAGAACCTGGTGTGCCGGCGCCGCAAGGTGGAGGATTAGCCTATTGAGCCACGGCGCCGGCTTAAAAGTGATTTATAAGGCATAAAACATATAGTAATTTATATCCATTAATACATAAAAAAGAGCTTGCTTCAATTTTCGACTCATTTGTCAATAAAGGACAGGCCTTAAACTTTATATTGTAGAGCCTCAGCACCCTGGTCCAACATGTGAAGAGTACACTGGTGTACTTCCATCCTCCAGATTGTTAGTTAAACCAACACAGACAAATTAACAGCTGTGGTAATTTTCAAGTAAGCTTAGATTACCATTCGTGGTTTCAATACAGCAGAAGTATCCGTGATATACTAATGTATCAGAAAGTTGATTAGCCAGAATATCTTCACATAGGATTCCGAGAAGATGAAAGTGTCACCTCCATTACAGCAGATGAAACATTACCTGTATCTTGTGTTGGCAAATAAGACTCTGACACTGAATCTTGCGGCTCAGAGTCTTCCAGCTGCCGCTGCTCCAAACCAACTTCCTTAACGGACTCCTCTTGAGGTGGGCAGCTTTTGTTCCGAAGAGCGCTCGAATGGCTGTGCGTGTACCATCTATTCCCGAACAACTGGGATTCAGAAGGGGAAGTCCTAGAAGATGGATGAAAGGAGAAAGACCATTATTGACCATTATCACCAATTCTAAAAGGACAAATCATACTTCTCAGGTAAGCCAAAGCTCAGGTGAAACAGTACATGGTCAGATCAGGAATAACTTGCAAAAGAGCCAGGTGACGGTCTAGATTCACATTCCTATCAACATGTCAGGGCTGACATATCTCCCCTTAGGGGCTGGATATCTCTTAGCTGCTTAAAAGCATGTCAGAAAATCTGACCAAATTATCTACTGCTATGTACTCAAATTCTATACATTATTCAACCTAAGTTCAAATTAATATGTAAAAAATCAGCTCTCCTATGACATAGAAAATTGATTAATGTTGACATACTTGCTCTTTCTCTATGTAACTCTGACTTTCAAATAAATAAAATAAATTCTTTTTTTTTAAAGATTTATTTATTTATTTGAAAGTCAGAGTTACACAGAGAGAGAAGGAGAGGCAGAGAGAGAGGTCTTCCATCCGCTGGTTCACTCCCCAATTTGCCACAATGGCCAGAGATGCGCCGATCCGAAGCCAGGAGCCAGGAGCTTCTTCCAGGTCTCCCATGTGGGTGCCAGAGGCCCGAGCACATCTTCTACTGCTTCCCCAGGCCATAGCAGAGAGCTGGATCGGAAGTGGAGCAGCCGGGACTCAAATTGGCGCCCATATGGGATGCCGGCACTGCAGGCAGCAGCTTTACCTGCTACACCACAGTGCCAGCCCCTAAAATATATTCTTAGAAAAAAAAAAAAAAAAAAAAAAGAATAGCTAGGCCCCTTGAAGATGAGCAAAACCTGAACTGCTGCTCTCAAGCACTCTAGTAGGAGAGGAAGTTCAATCAATGTGCGGATTCTATGATAGAAGACTATAGATTACCTGTTGGAGGAAGAGCAGCAGAAATTTTTAGTTTGAATAGTAAACAGACAGTTCACCTGGTTAAAACATGCTGGTGAAGCCATTCTTTCTAAACTTGGCCACATCTTCTCACTCTGCCAGTCAAAATGCCAGCACCCTAGACTCACAACTATCCTCAATCTAAGGGGCTCGCAAAAGATGGTGTGATTAGACTATTGGCCAAATGTGCCCATTCCCAGGAAGATAAGCATATATATGCAGTAGAGATTTGATAAACACGAATTTATCTTCCTTTCTAGAATGGTGTGATGTGTGACCCTAACAGTTCTGCATCTCTTTCTGAGCTATCCAATGGAAATAATAGTCCTGAACTTGTCCTTTTATTTTTATTTATTTATTTATTTATTTTTTTGACAGGCAGAGTGGACAGTGAGAGAGAGAGACAGAGAGAAAGGTCCTCCCTTGCCGTTGGTTTACCCTCCAATGGCCGCCGCGGCTGGCGCGCTGCGACCGGCGCACCGCACTGATCCGATGGCAGGAGCCAGGTACTTCTCCTGGTCTCCCATGGGGTGCAGGGCCCAAGCACTTGGGCCATCCTCCACTGCCTTCCCGGGCCACAGCAGAGAGCTGGCCTGGAAGAGGGGCAACTGGGACAGAATCCGGCGCTCCGACCAGGACTAGAACCTGGTGTGCCGGTGCCGCAAGGCGGAGGATTAGCCTAGTGAGCCGCGGCGCCGGCCTGTCCTTTTATTTTGACAATTGTGTTACAAAGACCAAATGAAGGGCTGGTGTTATGGCACAGCAGGTTAAGTTACCACCTGATATATCACCATCCCATGAGTGCTGGTTCAAGTCCTGGCTGCTCCACTTCCAATCCAACTCCCTGCCAATGCCCCTGGGAAAGCAGCAGAAGATAGCCCCTGCCACTCACATGGGAGACCCAAAAGGAGTTCCAGTCTCCTGGCACAGCTCCAGCCACTGCAGCCATTTGGAGAATGAACCAGTGGATAGATCTCTCTCTCTCTCTGTCTCTTCTTCCCCCTTCTTTTTGTAACTCTGCCTTTCAAATAATAGTAATTTTTAAAAAAGATCAAATGAGGGAGTAGATAGCATTTTTTTAAAAAATATTTATTTTATTTATTTGAAAGGGAGAGTTACAGAGAGAGAGATTCAGATCTTTCATCATCCGATGGTTCACTCTTCAAATGGCTGCAAAGAGGGAGTCTAGGCCAGGCTGAAGCCAGGAGCCAAAAACTTCTTTTGGGTCTCCCACATGGATGTAGGGCTCAAGCACTTAAGCCATCTTCCAGTTCCCAGGTACATTAGCAGGGAGCTGGACTGGAAATGGAACAGCTGGGACTCAAACTGGCACCCATATGGGATGCCAGAGCTGCAGGCTGTGGTTTTAACACACTGAGCCACAGTGCTGGCCCCCAGATGAACATTTTTTTTTTTTTTTTTTTTTGACAGGCAGAGTGGACAGTGAGAGAGAGACAGAGAGAAAGGTCTTCCTTTGCCGTTGGTTCACCCTCCAATGGCCGCAGTGGCCAGCGTGCTGCGCTGATCCGATGGCAGGAGCCAGGTGCTTTTCCTGGTCTCCCATGGGGTGCAGGGCCCAAGCACTTGGGCCATCCTCCATTGCACTCCCTGGCCACAGCAGAGAGCTGGCCTGGAAGAGGGGCAACTGGGACAGAATCCGGCACCCTGACCAGGACTAGAACCTGGTGTGCCGGCGCCACAAGGCAGAGGATTAGCCTAGTGAGCTGCGGCACCGGCTCCAGATGAACATTTTTAAAAATGTTTATTTATGGAGCTGGCACTATGACGTAGCGGGTAAAGCCACCACCTATAGTGCTGGCATCCTATATGGGAGCCAGTTCAAGACCCGGCTGTTCCACTTCTGATCCAGCTCTCTGCTATTTGCCTGGGAAAGCAGCAGAAGATGGCCTAAGTCCTTGGAGCCCTGCACCCATGTGGGAGACCCGGAAGAAGCTCCTGGCTTCAGATCGGACTAGCTCCAGCCATTGTGGCCATCTGGGAGCGAACCAGCAGATGGAATGCCTCTCTCTCTCTCTGCCTGCCCCACAGATAAAGTATTTTTGAAAACAGAAAGTGCTATAGAGTCTTATATCAACAGTGATTTGAAAATATACCCTAGAGAGATCTTCTGAATATTTCTTGAGATAAATAACATCCAAATTTTTCTTAGATTCTAGACAGAAATTTCAGTTAGGGCAAATGCTGCCTTGGAGAAGTCTACCATCAGCTCCCAGGATTGTTCAGGTTTTAGTTACTGTTTTTCTTTGTTGTATTTTTTGTTGTTAATCTTTTATTGATTATTTTCATTTTATATGAAAGGCAGAGAAACAGAGAGAGACAGAGATCTCCCACCTGCTTGTTTCCTCCACAATGTCCACAACAGCTACAGCTGGGCCAGGTTGAAGCCAGGAGTCCAGACTCAGTCTGGTAGCAGGGACCCAAGTATTTGGGCCATCATCTGTTGCCCCCTAGTACATCAGCAGGAAGCTGTGTTGGAAGCAGAGGAACTGGGACATGAACCAGGCACTGTGATATGGGATGCAGGTGTCCCTAGCAGTGACTTAACTGCCACACCAAATGCACACTTCAGGTTTTGTTTCTATATTTCACTGTGACTTTCAGAAGGAGCACATCTATCTAACTGCACACTTCTCCTATTGTAGCTTATGTCTGGTATAGGGCCAAAAAGCTTATTCCCAGTAAAATAAAATAAGCATCCTGGATCAATAAAGGGTCATAAACATTTGTGAACAATAACAACAACAACAAAAAAGCAGAGAATATGGGGGGAAAATTTAAGCTAAGAGTTCAGTGGGCAGGTGTTTGGCTGGTGAAGATGCCTGCATCCGTATCAGAGTGCCTGGGTTTAACCCCTGGCATTGGTTCCCAACAATTCCACCTTCCTGCCAAGGCAGACCCTAGCAGGCAGCAGATGACAGCTCAAGCAGTTATGTCCCTGCCACTCACTTGGGAGTCCTGGATTGAGATCCTGGCTGCTGGCTTCAGGATGGTCAATTCCTGTCTGCAGCAGGCATTTGGAAAATGATTTCATGGATGGGATCTTGAGTTGTCTCTGTCTTTCAGTATAAGTTAAGACATCATGCAGAGGGGCCAGCGCTGTGGCACAGTAGGTTAATCCTCCACTTGTGCACTGGCATTCCATATGGGCACCGGTTCTAGTTCCGTCTGCTCCTCTTCTGATCCAGCTCTCTGCTATGGCCTGGGAAAGCAGTGGAAGATGGCCCACAACCTTGGGCCGCGGCACCCTCGTGGGAGACCGGGAAGAAGCTCTTGACTCCTGGCTTCGGAATAGGCTCTGCTCTGGTCGTTATGGCCATTTGGGGAGTGAACCAGCGGATGGAAAACCTTTCTCCCTATCTCTCCCTCTCACTATCTATAACAAATAAATAAATAAAATAAAAATAAATGCAACTTCACAGAAGTTTCTTAAAAAAAAAAAAGACATCATGCAGGCACCACATTTGACATTTCTTACCTTCCTGCTCCTGGTTCTTTATTTTTACTGTTGGAATGATGTGGAGATTCCCGGAACTTGTCAACAGAAAGGCTTTTTGGATTCCGGCTGATAGGATATTCACTAGTTTTCTCTGAAGTTAATACTCCTTTAAATAGAATGAGAAAACAAAGAAATCTACTTTTTTTTTTTTCCTGATGGTGATAATTCAGGTGAGAACATCAATTTTTCCAAAAGCAGCAATCTGTGACAATCAAATTGGTTTTTAAACAAGTATTCAGATAAAATTCTACAAACACAAGTGATGCAACAGACGGATGCTAGCACTGAATGGAACGAAATGATTAATAAATAATGATAATAAAAAGTGTACCTTAAAACTAGGTAAATAAAGACACTCAGCTGAGACAAGACTGAAAAAATATATTTGCCTTTCGCCCTGAATGATAAGAAAACAAGAATAAGCAACAAGTTTTTATCTTTGCAGCAAACTGAATTATACCCAAGTCCCCTTAGATAGCAAAGAAAAAGGTTCTGGAAGCACAAGGCGTGTTCCCTTTCCTATCCCCACAGCCTCCACGGCAAAGGTCACATGGGATGAGGGTTGAGCTTTGTGCCTGTGTGAGGAAGCAAGAGGAGGGAAGTCAGATGAAAAAGAAAAGAAAAAAAAAAAAAGGTGACATTTTGCTTCACATTTTCAATTACTGAGGAAAAACAAACAGAACTAAAAAAATCAACACAAGATGCTGGTTTATAAGGAACCTTGAAATAATACATGGAACTAATGATGAAATGGCCCAAGAAGGGGAAAAAAAAAAAACACAAAACAGACCCAAGGCAAAGTTCTAGAATGCCAGCATACCCTATTTATTAATTCCTTCAAATGAATTATTGTGCCACTGCCTCCTAGGAAGTGGCTTAAAGGCAGAAATATTTAAAATGCAAAAGCAAACAGATAAAAATCACAAATTTCCCGACCATTAAAAAATTGCCGATGACTGTAATTCATTTCAAGCTTTTATTAGAAAAGCTAAAATCCATAAATCAAGGTAGAACATTTAAACAAAGGTTTGTATTAATTTAGCTGTTTTTTTAAGATACTGGGTAGCCTGGGGGAAAATAATCATTGATTTTCTAAGTTAATTTTCAAATATATTATATATAATTTCCTTTATACTCATCTTTCTGGACCTGTGAATTTCTAGGAACACAAGGACTCTGCCTGAAGCCACCAGCTGCTGAAGGTGGGCAGGGTTTAACCTTAAATACTGGTATCAGGGCTGGCACTGGGGCATAATGAATTTAGCTGCCACCTGTGACACTGGCATTCCAGACGGGCGCTGGTTGGAGTTCTGGCTGCTCCACTTCCGATCTAGCTTCCTGCTAATAAGCTTGGGAAAGCAGTGGAAAATGGCTCATGGTCCTTTAGCTCCTACACCCACATACGAGACTTAGAAAGAAGCTCCTGGCTCCAGCTTTATCTAGCCCTGGTTGTTGCGGCCATCTGGGGAGTGAACCAGCAGATGGGAGATCTCTCTATATTTCTTTCTCTCTTGCTTTAACTGTCTTCCAAATAAATAAAATAACTAAAAAAAATACAGGTATTATTCTTCCCTCCACAAAAATTCAGGATGATAACTGAAAAATAGTGATGTGCAGCTTCTGAGGAACCAGACCAAACAGAATTAACCACTGGAAAGGGTTTAAAAAAGAAAGAAAGAAAAAAAAAAAGTGAAAGGCAAGGGTAGCCTGATACCGACATAGCTATTAAAAATAAGGAGCCGCGGCCGACACTGTGGCACAGTGGGCCACAGCCTGCAAATGCCAGCATCCCATGTGGGTGCCGGTTTGAGTCCCAGCTGCTCCATTTCTGATCCAGCTCTCTGCTATGGCCTGGGAAAGCAGTAGAAGATGATCCAAGTCCTTGGGTCCCTGCACCCACGTGGGAAACCCAGAAGAAGCTCCTGGCTCCTAGCTTCGGATCAGCTCAGCTCTGGCCATTGCGGTCATTTGGGGAGTGAATCAGCAGCGGATGGAAGACCTCTCTCTCTGGCTCTACCTCTCTCTGTAACTCTTTCAAATAAATAAAATAAATAAATCTTCAAAAAAAAATAAAGAAGGAGCCATGCTCCTAATTCTGTATATATGAAATAACATGAAATTCATTCACTTTATATATAAAATGTTTTTTTAAAAAAGCCATACTACCACCAGCACACATCAGCATATGAATTTCTTCTCACTACAATGGACCTCAAGCTATGGAGAAAACAAGCTAACCTGACTTGGGAATTAATTCAATAGAACATAAGAAATAGCATAGAACTTTTCTGCTCTTTTTTTTTTTCCCTTAACCTGCATTACATTCTCTGAATAACAAGCCCAATTCAGGCCTTGCGCTATGATCTACTTGTTGGTTGGTTCAGGAAAGTATAAATGTGGGGAGTCAGAGCCCACATTTCAGAACAGTACCATAGTCCCTCTGAAATCATTCTCTCCTTTGGGTGTCTTACCATTCTTCATGGGTAGGGAATATGGGTCAGACCAAACACTTAATAATAAATTTACTGATTGCCTACTATGTGCAAGCATTATGTAAAATATTAGGAAAAACTAGGAAAAGATTTGGTGGAAGAAAGAAAAGGATGGGGGCCGGTGCTGTGGCACAGTGGGTTAAAGCCCTGGCCTGCAGTGCCAGCATCCCACATGGGTGCTGGTTCGAGTTCCGGCTGCTTCTCTTCCGCTCCAGCTCTCTGCTCTGGCCTGGGAAAGCAGTAGAAGATGATCCAAATCCTTGGGCCCCTGCACTTATGTGGGAGACCCAGAAGATCCTGGCTCCTGGCTTTGGATCAGCTCAGCTCTGGCCATTGTGGTCATTTGGGGAGTGAACCAGCAGATGGAAGACCTTTCTCTCTGGCTCTACCTCTTTCTGTAACTCTTTCAAATAAATTAAAAAAAAAAAAAAAAAAGAAAAGAAAAGAAAGAAGGAAAGAAAGAAGGATATTAAATGATAAAACTATAAAAATGTAGAATTTATAATGAAAAAGTTTAAGAAGTATATAATCCACTAAGCCCAAGTGATTGTGTATTTCCAGGGGAGGAACATAGTTTATTTAATTTTTTTTAAAGATTTGTTTATTTATTTGAAAGGCAGAGTTACAGAGAGGCAGAAAGAGAAAGAGAGAGAGAGAGGTCTTCCATCCACTGGTTCACTCCCCAAATGGCCGCAATGGCTGGAGTTGGGCCAATCCAGAGCTAGGAGCCAGGAGCTTCTTCCAGGTCTCCCACACGGGTGCAGGGGTCCAAGGACTTGGGTTACCTTCTATTGCTTTCCCAGGCCATAACAGAGAGCTGGATTGGAAGTGGAGCAGCTGGGACTCCAACCAGCTACCAAATGGGATGCCGGAACTGCAGGTGGCAGCTTTACCCCCTGTGCCACATTGCCAGTCCCTGAATTTGGGATCTTCAAAAACTTACTTAAAAAGTATGTCATGAGTAAAACAGAAAACAAATAATACTTGTTCCTAAATTAAGAAATTTAGTTGGATCTCCGTTAGGCTCATATCAACTTAAAGGGAGAAAAAGGTCCAAATCTCGAGTTGGTACTGATAATCAAAATGTCTCTCTCAGAAATGAAGTAAAAAAGAAACATTTTGTCTACAGATCTTCAGGAAAAAACAAACATACCATAGTAGATTTCCATAGATATTTAAAGCCACACAATAACATTTTCTGTCTTGTGCTACAGAGTTAGAATTCTGATCTATTTTTAGACTGAAGATGGTAAAAGCACCCCAAAGAGAATTGTACTGGGGACTGGACTCTGGGTTTCATTCTCCGGGAGAGGAACGATATGAAGACACAGTTACAAAGAAAACATTTAGGGAAATACATTTTGAAGCAGTGCCATAGCAACAAATTTCTAGTTTCTCATGCAGGAGTCACTGTTTCTTCCAGATCACAAAAACACTGCAAGGCACACTTGGGAAACAAGGCCACTTTTCTGAATGATGAATAGATTTGAATTCCAGAAAGACTCAAAGGGAAGGCCTTCAGGCCTCTCCTAGGACCATGGAAGGGGTGTGAGGAACGAACCCAGATGCTGAGTTAGGCAGGAATCACAGAGAACAGGGCAGAACACTTTGGGCGGGCTCATCACCCTGCCTGCTCCCAAGCACCAAGCTCCCCCAGTGGACCCATGCCTAATTTGTCTTTTACACATCTCTCTCTGTTTGCCCTTATTTAAAAACCTGCCTAACATGCTCTTTCTCCAATTAAAAACAAATTTATCTCACTTTCCTTCATTTACACATTATTTCTCTGTTCAGTATTCACTTTCTGTATAGCTAATTTTTTTTTCTGTATAGCTAATTAATCCCACCTCCCTGCTTTTTCCAATGGTCTCCTCTCAGAGGTGCATTGGCCTTGTTGATAACTCTAGCATTATAAAGTACGCAACTCGGCTGCATAATTGGGCTTTCTGCAGACCAAAGTGCATTTCCTGAAGTATAGGATGTTTCTTTTTATAAATTAGAAAGCACACTAACTAGGTCTTTGTGATCTGGCACCAGTTTTTCACATTTCTCTGAAATTATCAGGTTACCCATTGCTGATTTCCCATTACACTCTGCTTCCTAACAGTAACTATATCGTCACATCCTGTGGGCTCCCCATAGCATCTTCCCCATGTAGGTACTCAATGACATGAATGCCTATTTTGGGTCCCCATGAACAGTAACTTAGTCATAAGTAGGGACTAGAATCAAGGCTCCCAAAGATTACTCACGGAGTGACTCAGTAAATACGTGCTGAGCAAAGATCATAAAATGCTGGAGCTTGGGCTTCACTTTTCAGAAGTGATAAGCCAGGCTTAAGGAGAGAATTTTGATGGTTTTTGATGAATGGCCAATATTACAAACCTTTTTCTGATGTGTTCTGTTGTAGATTTAGCGGGTCCTCCGAGGCACATGGGTCAGGCAGGGGGGAAGGGGGTCTGTAAGAGGGCTGGCTCCCATTCTGCTCTAACACAGCTTCCAGCTGAGCCATTTCCTCCTGGAGTTTTAGAAGGTTATCTTGCATGGTGTCCCTCTGCTGAAAAATGAGAAATATCACCAAGAAAATTACATTTTAAGAAACTTGCCATACAGTGAAAATAAGCCACACCAATTAATTTTACACCGAAAATTGAAACTATCTAGTATGGGATTAAGAGTTTTAGCTGAACACGTTTTAATCTAACCATATTCATATAGTTAATATCCATGAAATTATTTCAGAATGATGTTAAAAGGTGAAAAAAATCCTCAAACACCCCAGTAGAACTGCTTTATTGTGATGTCATTTAAACATTGGTTATTTTCTTTGAAAGCTAGGGAGTAAAAAAAAATAATTAACATACTTTAGCAATATTTTAAAAAGATTTATTTATTTGGGAGGTAGAGTAACAGACAGAGGGAGACAGAGAGAAAAGTCTTCCATTCACTGGTTTGTTCCCCAGATGGCTGCAACAGCTGAAGCTGGGCAGATACAATGCCAGGAGCCAGGAGTCCAGGTTTGCCATGCGGGTGCAGGAGCCCAAGAACTTGAGCCATCTTCTACTGCTTTCCTAGGCCATAGCAGAGTTAGACTGGAAGAGGAGCAGCTGGGTTTCCAAATGGCACCCATACTGGATACTGGTGCTGCAGACAGAGGGTTAGCCTTCTATGCCACAGTGCCAGCCCCCTTAAACACACATATTGATATTTAAAATTAGCCTGGGGACAAGCATTTGGCCCAGATATCATGGGATGGGATATCTACATCCTGTATTGGAGTGCTTGTGTGCAGAGTCCTCACTCCTGATCCAGCTTCCTATCAATGTGCACTCTGGGAGATAGCAGGTGATAGCTCACGTAGTTAGGTTGCTGCCACTTATGTGGGACACCTGGATCGAGTGCCCAGCTCCCGACTTCAGATTGACCCAGGTCTGGACATTTGCAAAGATTATATTTTACACAGGTGATGTGTCAAAGATTTGGTATTATAAGACTCAAGATATTTATGGTAGTCTATATAAAAATTTGTGAATTTTAGACTGCTACAATATTGAAAAAAGTCTCCTTCCTATGGTATTTTATTAAAAAACTATTAGTAGAGGCAAGCGCTGTGGCGCAGTGGGTTCAAGTCCTGGCCTGCAGTGCCAGCATCCCATATGGGCACTAGTTCAAGTCCCGGCTGCTCCACTTCCAATCCAGCTCTCTACTATGGTCTAGGAAAGCAGCAGATGACCCAAGTGCCTGGGCCCCTGCACCCACATGGGAGACTCAGAAGAAGCTCCTGGCTCCTGACTTTGGATCAACTCAGCTCTGGCCATTGTGGCCATTTGGGGAATGAACCAGCAGATGTAAGACCTTTTTCTCTCTCTGGCTCTACCTCTCTATGTATCTCTGTCTTTCAAATAAATAAAATAAATCTGAAAAAAAAAAAACAAACTATCAGTTATCCTGCCCAGATTGAGGACTCTGCCTTTTCCGGGATTCTTTGAACCTTGAGTTTCTAAAAGAAAAGGCAACAAACAAATTCAATTAGTTGTTCAGTTTATTTAACAACTGTTTACTGTCCTGGTGCTGTGGACAGACTTCATGGTGCTGCCATTCTAGACAGGGACAGAACACCTAGAGATCATTAGAGAGAAGGACCTGTTCGAGGGAAGGACCCAACTCAAAGAGCTTTAAGAAAGCCTGTAATTAGCCGGCGCCGTGGCTCAATAGGCTAATCCTCCACCATGCAGCGCCGGCACACCGGGTTCTAGTCCCGGTCGGGGCGCCGGATTCTGTCCCAGTTGCCCCTCTTCCAGGCCAGCTCTCTGCTATGGCCAGGGAGTGCAGTGGAGGATGGCCCAGGTGCTTGGGCCCTGCACCCCATGGGAGACCAGGAAAAGCACCTGGCTCCTGGCTCCTGCCATCGGATCAGCGCGGTGCGCCGGCTGCAGCGGCGGCCATTGGAGGGTGATCCAACGGCAAAGGAAGACCTTTCTCTCTCTCTCACTGTCCACTCTGCCTGTCAAAAAAAAAAAAAAAAAAAAAAAAAAAAGCCTGTAATAACAGTTACTGCCTTTAGTTCAAGATAACGGGTTCTTCTTGCTAATGGGATTCCTATTACTTAGTGTTTCATTTCAAGAGGTCTGCCAAGTTTAATGCATTTCATATTTTAAAAAATTAGGTACATAAGAAATTTTCCAAAATATACATTTCTTTATCATTTTTATAAGGAACGCTAGCAGCTGCCAGCAGCCTTGGGGACAGATTGTTTTATTCTCCATTTCTTCTTCTGATCCTTGAAAATGACTTTGCCCTCTGCTAAAAACAAGGCATCTTCTTCCTCCTGCTACACTGAGTTCATGGTTTTCAGGAGTTTTTATGATCAGAAAATGTATTCCCAGTTTCACAAAGATTTCTACTGCTACCCTGAGACTGCTTTGCAGCCAACATGTATAGCAACGCCATTGCCACCACGTGGTCCTTGTGAGTAGCTGCATCACTGATTAAACCCTAGCCACGGCCTTGCCTCAGTAAACCTGGAATGAAACCAGACAGAAGTATCTAATCAGTGTTTCAGAAGCCACATGAATATTACTCCTGTGAAAAACACCACTCTAACCTCTGTGTAGTCATTAAATAGGCCAGAACATCAGAAAAAAAATAGTGACAAGAGAATTAATTAGATACTTTCCTTTGGGTTTCCCAAAGGAATTACTTTACAACTTAAAAGACAAATTCCCATGTGGTCAATTTACTAAATACACTAGGGAGAACAACACCAAATAGGTGACCAAGTCTTCTGGATTCTAATGCTGATATGGCTTTTTAATTAGCTCTACTCTTCTATTGTATCCCCACTATCCCACTCTGATCTCACCTTTTAATACAGCTACATTACTGCAGAAGTTCCCTTTAGTGATATACCCCTGCTTAAACAAGTTAATACTTTCTGAATACGATGTAACTGTTACTCATTACTACGCTGAGACAGTCCAAATTCCTAATCACAGAGCTCTAAAGGTCCTCCAACCCTTGACCTCCCTTATTTCCCCTCAATATCCCCATATGCTCCATTTTCCAACAACACAGGGCAACTTCGTGTTTCCGGGTCATCCCGTTTCTCCATGTCTTTGCTTTAGTTGCTGCTTTCCTGATTTTCCAACTTAGGAAAATTCCTCTCATCTTTTTTTTTTTTTTTTTAAGGATCTATTTTATTTATTTGAAAGACAGTTAGAGAGAGGTAAAGCCAGAGGGAGAGGTATTCCATCTGCTGGTTCACTCCCCAATTGGCCACAATGGCTGGAGCTGAGACTATCTGAAGCCAGGAGCCAGGAGCTTCTTTCAGGTCTCCCACACGGGTGCAGGGGCCCAAGCACTTGGGCCGTCTTCTACTGCTTTCCCAGGCCATAGCAGAGAGCTGGATCAGAAGTGGAGCAGTAAGGACTTGAACTGGCACCTACATGGGATGCCGGAGCTGCAGGCTGGGGCTTCAACTCACTGTGCCACAGCGCCAGTCCCAGCCTCTCGTCTTCCAAGGCCCAGCTCAAATGTCTCCTTTCGAAGTCCCCACCAATAGCCCATCTATCAAGAACACACGATCCCTCACTACTTGGTTTATAGCGCTCACACATCAGTATCCCCAAGTGGACAATCTGACCTCCTACATGGGAGGCATCTTCCCTTAAATCACTTCTGTCTCCCCAAAGTCCAGTAAACAGTAGGTGCTCAGTAAATGTTTAATGCAGAAATGATCCACTGAATCAATTTAATCAGTCAGATAAAAAATTACATTTTCTATCTCCCTGTATACCTCTGCTCAGTTCTATATAACCAGAGGGAAAAGATCCCACTTCAGTATTCTGTCTGTCTGTGCTTCTCCAGATTTGTAAGCCTGACATCTGACTTAAGGTTTGGGTAGATGCTTGATAAAAGCACCTTGCAAAATGAATCCTTAACAAATAGGCATATTCCTCGGAATAAGATTGGGGATACAAAAAAAACCAAAGAAATAACTTATTGAATGTCAAATATAATACAGTATGGCTAAGACAGATGGGATAAGAAACTGGATCTTAAAATCTTAAAACACATGGGACAGAATTAGGTGACAGGCATATTGACAGAACCCGAGTCCACATCCAGAAAGGATCACAGGAATTGTAAACAGAGAAAAGGTCCAAGTCTTCGCATCAATTTAGTCACCATGGCAATCCTGCAGAAGTGGCAAATACTGGTGACAGTTCAGGTACAGAGCAGGCGGTTGTCTCAAAGGTTTCTTCCTGACACTAACAGGCTTCAGACCTAGGGGGATTTGCTCTATACAGAGAATGGGCAGAAGAGGACACGCCCTCACTATTTGGAGCCTTCAGGGCAATGCCAGGATTTACAAGAGTACAAAAACTGGAACCAGTGTGATGCTGGTAAAGGCACAGGAAAACTGTCAAATACTAGAGGGGCTGGAGGAGCACAAATTGGTTTAATCTTTCTAAAGCACAGTATAACAATACGTACCAAAGACCAAAAATTCCAAATTCAGGAATTTATACTAAAGAAATAACCAGGGGGGCTGGCATTGTGGCGGAACCTGTTAAGCCATCGCCTGCAGTGCCAGCATCCCATTATGGGCAACGCTTTGAGTCCCGGCTGCTCCACTTCTGATTCAGCCCTGAATTCAGTACCTGATTCAGTACCTGAGAAAGCAGTGGAGGATAGCCCAAGTCCTTAGGCCCCTGCACCCACGCAGGAGACCTGCAGGAGTTCCAGTTCCTGACTTTGGCTTGGCCCGGCCCTGGCCATTGAGGGCATTTGTGGAGTGAATCAGTGAATGGAAGATATCTCTCTATCTCTCCCCTTCTCTCTGTAACTCTTCTTTGGAATAAATAAAACAAATCTTAAAAGAAATAAAATAACTAGGGATATGCACAAATATTGATGTCTATCATATAGCTGTACAGAATAGCAAACTGTGCCTCTTATCCTGAAACTCTCAACATCTGGCAATAATCAAATCAATCAAGATACACCCAAAGGATAGAATGCTATGTGACCAATAAAGTCAATGAAGGATTTTAATGACATAGCAAAAGCAAGATTATGATATAAATATGTAGAATATATTATATAAATATTTTTTTACAAGATTTTATTTATTGAGAGGTAGAGTTACAGTCAGAGAGAAGGAGAGACAGAAAGAGAAGTATTCCATCTGCTGGCTCACTCCTCAAACTGCCACAATGGCTGGAGCTGGGCTAATCCGAAGCCAGGAGCCAGGAGTTTCTTCTGTCTCCTATATGCGTGCAGGGGCCCAAGAACTTGGACCATCTTTTGCTGCTTTCCCAGACCATAGCAGAGAACTGGATCAGAAGTGGAATAGCTGGATCTCAAACCAGCACCTGTCGGGCATTGCCTAAAATCTCCATTACAATATGGTGCCTGTTGGACTTTCGAGGGGCGTGTCTGCGGCTGCTGCGGTTAAGCTACATAAGATCAGACCACCGGCAGGGATAGGTCCACTTCAGTTCCGGACACGTGGACAGTGCATGATCCCTATACTTTGCTTAAGATGCCCCTGTGCATGGTCCACCCATGCCTGCATGACCTTTTCGCTGATTGGCTCCCCTACTACGCATGTCTTTCGTAAGCTTTATAAGCCTGTACACTTCCTCAATAAAGTAGTTCCTGCTTTGACAGAACTCACGGGTGCTAGTGGTGTGCTTAGTGCTTAACCCGTCGACCTTACCTCTCCCATTCACCTTGTCAGGGAGTGCCTGTGCTGTCCCCTGCTGGTCAGGGACCAGGCTCAGGCTTAAGACCCCAACAAGCACCCAGAAGGGATGTCTGGAGGCTTAGCTTACTATGACACAGCATCGGCCCCCCTGCTCCACTTCTGATCCAACTCCCTGTTAATGCACCTGAGAAAGCAGTAGAAGATGGTCTGAGTACTTGAGCCCCTGCCACCTGTGTGGGAGACTCTGCTGGAATTCCAGGCTCCCGACTTCAGTCTGACACAGCCCTAGCCTTTGCAGTCATTTGGGGAGTGAACTAGCTAGTAGATGGAAGGTCTCACTTTCTCTGTCTTTGTTTCTCTCTATAACTCTTCCTCTCAAATAAATAAATCTTTTTTAAAAAAATATTTATTTATTTACTTAGAGGCAGAGTTACAAAGAGAGGAAGAGACCTGCTGGTTCATTCCCTAAATGGCCCCAATGGCCGCAGCTGGGCAGATCAGAAGCCAGAAGCCTGGAGACTCTTCCAGGTCTCCCATATGGGTGAAGGGGCACAAGCACTTGAGGCATTTTTCACTGCTTTCCCAGGTGTATTATCAGGGAGCTGGATTGGAAATAGAGCAGCAGAGACTTGAACTGGTGCTCATATGGGATGCTGGCACCCCAGGAGGATGCTTAACCTACACCATAGCACCGGCCCTTCAAACAAATAAATCTTAAAAACAAAACAAAACTCTCTCTGTAAGCCTTTCAAATAAGTAAAATAAATATATATATTTATTTTATAAATAAATTAAAAAATTTATTTATTTATTTGAAAGGAAGACTTACAGAGAGAGAGGTCTTTCATCCACTGGTTCACCCTCCCAAATGGCCTCAACGGCTGGAGCTGGGCTGATCCAAACCCAGGAGCCAGGAGCTTCCCCCGGGTCTCCCATGTGGATGTAGAGACCCAAGCACCTGGGCCATCTTCCACTGCTTCCCCAGGCCATAAGCAGAGAGCTGGATCAGAAAAGGAGCAGCCAGGACATGAGTCAGTGTCCCTACAGGATGCCAACACCTCAAGTGGAGGCTTAACCTACAGTGCCACAGTGCCGGACCCAGTAAAATAAATCTTAAAAGAAATAAAAGAAACAGGGCCAGCATTGTGGCACAGCAGGTTAAGCTGCCCCTAAGACACCAGCATCCCATACTGGAGTCCTAGCTATTTTGCTTCTCAACCAGCTTCCTGTTAATGTGTCTAGGAAGGCACAGGAAGTTGGTCCAAGTACTTGGGTCCCTGTTGTCATGTGGAAGACCACGATGGAGTTTCTGGCTTTGGTCTGGCCCAGACCTGGCTGTCGTGTGGCTATCTGGGGAATGAACCCGAAGATGGACAATCCCTCTCTGTCACTTTGCCTTTCAAATAAGTAAATAAGTAAAATGGTCTCTAATAGGAAGAAAACCCTGTAGATTTCAATTTGGTACCAAGACTAAGCACATTCCTCTTTTAATACAACAGCACTTTTAGATGTGTTTTGTTATAGGACAAATGGGTTTTGAAGGTTTAGTTAATTAAATAAATTCAGTATTTAGTATTCGCTATTAACACAGAGGGATGAGGTCAGCAAACATAAGGACGTGGGACACACAGCACTTAATGCAAGGGACGCCAAACATGCTTCTTACCTGAGTGGTTAAGATTTCGCTCTGAGAGGACAGCCCTGAGTGGACTCCAGACAGACTTGCTTCACTCTCACACCCAGATGCTGCTGCACCTTAAAAGACAATAAACAGGCTCAGATGTAAAAACACCACTAACACTGCAACTTGCTACGTCTGTTTCCTCCCACTGGCCGGGCAGGTTGCACTGTCATGTCACATAAAATGACTGAACTCCTTTCTCTGGGAGACTGCGATTTTGTCTCCGAAGTCCTAACACAGAAAACCAGAAGCAAGTCTGCCAACAATTAGGATTTTAAATCTCAATCAGAAAAGATACACTAGATGGGCGAAGGACATTTGACTTTTAAGGAAAAGCACCTTTGGAGGAACATATTTCAGATTTAGGAAGCAATTATTTTAACTGTACTTGCAAACTTGTAAAATGTGTTCCCCAAAAGGTGTAAACAATTAGGTCATTTCTATAAAACAGACCAGGGCAAACACAAAAACCTGCTTCCGATACCTAAGTTTGCATCCACATTCTGTCCTTGGAGATTATCTTCATCATCTGAAGCCAATTCCTTGTCACTCGTATCTTGCTGGCTTTCAGACTGATGTCTCATTTGTTTGGAAGGAGAATCAAACATCAAGAAGGGATCCTGGGAGTTTGTATTTTCATTCAAGTCTTCCACTGCACTGCACTGGGAAGAAAACAAGCTACCGGAACATTCTGATCCCTGGCTGGGGGGGTGCTCCTGGGATGCCTTTGACAGTGTCACCTCGTTATCAGAGTCGTTTAAGCTATTTTTCAATGACACGAAGTTCTCCTCTGTTTTCTCAGATACACACTCTGTGGCAACAGCACTACGTCTAGTAGATTGGGATGGTCTATCAGTTACTTTACCAAACAGTAATTGTTGGAAGCAGATAAGCTCTTCATCCTCGCTAGGTATATGCTCTTCTGAGGACTCTAATTTCCTAGCTTCTCTTTGGTGACTCTGAGCCAAACATGCATGGCCTGAAGGGCTAGGGGTTCTACTGCACTCTCCCCTCTGAACACTTTTACTAAACACAGCAGATCTTTCCTTAATGCCGCTCTCAGCAAAGCTGGTATTTTCCTTTATTTCATAAATATCTAACAGGTCATCAGGTGTCTCAGAACAAATCTGAGAAGCATGCCTACCTCCTATAGACTGCTCTTGGCTATCAGGAACCAGATACGAAGAGAAATCTCTGTTCACAGCCTGAACTACTCCTTCGTTTTCTTCTTGCCTTTGGAGTTTGGGAAGTTCAGAATTACTTACAGGAAGACTTTGCTCACAGACTTCAGGCTGCATAAGACCTAATCTAAGCACAGCATTTAACTCAGGTGCTCTGCTTCTGCCTGGTTGTGCTTGCATGTTTTCACCACTGGATCCTACTTCATTAACACTGGAGCATACTTCGTTAGCACTAGAGCCCCCTTCATTAATACTGCTCGAGCTGAATCCTTTCAAAGCACTTTCTCTAATGTACTCTTGGCTAATTGTGCTCACTGTGCTTGGAATGAGGCTCTCGCTTCCCACTGCTCTTTCAGATGACACGGAATGTTCCTCAGACCTTTGCCCTGACAGGTTTACCTGACGTGTGGCTTTAACAGATGGCTTGATGGGAGAAATTGGTGGCATATGATATGGGTTTTGTGACATTCCATGTTTACTTACAGCAATGAGCTCAGTTTCACTGCCTTTGGACTGAGATGACAGACAAAGCCTAGAGATCTCTTTAATGCCCCATTTGGCACAATCACCTGCCTTCTCTTTCTGACACACCACAGGAAAGCCCACAGTGCTATCGGCTGCCTGGACATGACTGATTTTCCACTCTTCCTTTCTCTGACTTTCTTCTTTTTGTTCACGTTCAAGAGTGACTTCTGGACTTTGTTTCCTTGAGGAGTTGGAGCGGGTACAGACTGCTGCACATTCCTTTTCTGGATCTCCTGGTTTTGAACACAGAGCAAATGAACGACGCTTGGAACCCATGAATGTATTCTGTAAATACTGAGTATCAAACTCACTCTCTTCCATTGCTACGCTTGTCTCTTGGTCAACTTCACTTCTCAATGGATCCTTACATTTGTCCGGGTCATTTCCAGTATCTTTCAAACAATCACGGATAAGTTCCTTGGGATTTCCAATTGCTGTGCTCTCACTCACATGTCCATTTGCTGCTGTTTTTGCCTTTCCAAGGGTGTTAGCGCCCAGTAATGAGATGCTGTCCTGAGTACCATATTCAGTATCAGGTACCAGTGAAATACTGGTACTCTCCACAGACCTTTCAGTTTGCAAGCCCCTTTCTCCACATAACAGGAGATCTTTGGGGTCTAGGGCACTATTAGGCACTTGAACTCTGTCAAGGTTCTCTTCTATTTCCCTTCTTTGAAGGCTAGGATTGACAGATTCTTGAAGTTTATTAGAACTTGAACAGTTAGTAAAAACACCAGGTATGCTTGTTAATTTTACTTCTGGGAAAACATCACTGGCATGTCTTTTACTTATTTGTTCATTTGGCTTGTTCTTCCTAGCTCCAGTTGGAGGTTCTGTATCTTCTATGACTTGAACCTGTCTGCTGTGACTGACTGGTATTTGGTCGAAATTCATTTCTTCACTGCTAGTACAACTATCAATTTGTAGTTCAGTATGATTAGGTGGGCTCGGTTTCTTATTGACTACTAGTTCAAGTGCATGAACACGCCTGGTAGAGGACTTCTTCCTCAGCCTATTCTTCTTGGGTTTTTTTGAATTATGGACATTTAATTCTAGTTCCATATTGCTTATACTGCTGCTTATAGGTTCAACTTTAGTTCTGAAGGAAGATTCTTTTTCCAGGGATTCTGTTGGGTTAGCATTTGTCTCTTTCTGAACATAATCACCTTTTGTTTCATTCTCATTACCACGATTAGTAATATTCATCTCCTGATCATTGTCCACTGTTTGATCAGTTCCCTGATTTATCTGTGCAGGAGTTTTTGGAACAACTGCCAAATCTACCTTCTTGATAAAATCTTCAGGTTGAAGGCCTGAAGAAGTTCTTCTTTTACGTTTTAATTTATTTGCGGGTGGACACGGTACCAGTGGTTCCGCAGCAAACGCTCCTATAGTTAGATCTTCAGTTATGTGGCTCAAGTTAGGGAGGCTTGTCTTCCTGTGGTAGGTTTTCCCGAATATTTTATCTTTGATATTATTCTCTACTGGTTTGGAATGGACTCTTTTATTTTCACATATTAAAGCATTATGGGACTCACTGGCCAGTAAGTCTATTTTCTCTGTAGAACCAGAATATCCATCTATCTCCTTTGGAACTTCTAATGCACCAGTCACTTTGGCATTTGATTCAGACCGCCGGTCAAGTGAATCATCAGGAGTTAACATTTCATTACTTCTGGAGAACCACTCGTTAACTTTCTGAATGCTGCTATTTACTGTTATCCAAGAAACATCTTGGTTATCTCCAGAGGTCTCAGGGCACGAAGGTTTCTGCTTATCCTGTTGTTTTCTCCCATACAGGCAATCAACATTCGGAACTACCTTTTTCTCTGTGCTGGGAGTCTGCCTATCATTACATGTTTCCTTACTTTCGGCCCATCTGCTCTGTTGGCTTCTTGCTAAGCCAGGCTGCTTGCTCTTATTACAGAATTCAGCCTTTTCTACATTCATTCTGTCTTTAGTGAGTAATAAACTGCTGTTCTCATGCTGTAATGAGCTGGCATGAGTATCTGTGCCACATGGCTCCACATGCAAGTTTGAAATAGAAATACCCTGATACTTTTCTGGATGCCTCTCAGTTGCATGCTTCTTAACAGTGGTCAAATCTTTATTATTGGATTGATGAGGTTCAATATTTGTTATTTCCTTCTCAGAAAACACACAAGCAGCTGAAAATACAAATAAACAAACAAACAAACAAATAAAAACAAGGTACTTAAAAAATGAACAATCATGAAAAAATACATACTTAACTTGGGGGTAATAAGGCAATGGGCTATTTTTAGAGAAACTAACCTTATTAACTACCAGATATATACAGATGTAGCTCTTACTTTTTCATGTTTTCCCTATTTACCTGGATTCTCATTATTTTCCCACAAGATAATTAAAATGTTAACATCAGAATTTTTCCTATCCCTAAACCATACTTTTTAATTCTCTAACTGCTAAGAGTGAATTAAAAACAGACTATTTGGTCATCAGTCTTTTGTTCTGGCTACAGACTTATATTTCCTATATTTAAAAACCAGTAGGCAGGGGCTGGTATTGTGGAATAGCTGGTTAAGCTACCACCTATGATACCGGCATCCCATATGGGTGCTGGTTCAAATTTCGGCTATACTACTTCTGATCCAGCTCCCTGCTAATGCCTGGGAAAGCAGGGGAAGATGGTCCACGTACTTGGGCTCCTGCACCCATTTTGGAGACCTGGAAGAAGCTGCTGGCTCTTGGCTTTGGCCTGGTTCAGCCCTGGCTGTTATGCCCATTTGGGGAATGAACCAGTGGATGGTTCTTTATATCTCCTTCTCTCTCTTTCAAATAAATACACAAATCTTTTTAATAAAAAAATAAAAATGTTGTGGCACAGCAGGTTAAGCAGTTACTTGTGAAGCCAGCATCCCACACTGGTCCACTAGTTTGAGTTCTGGCTACTCTGCTTTTGATCCAGCCCCCTACTAATGTGCCTGAAATAGCAGGGAATAACTGTGCCTCTACCATCCATGTGGGAGACCCAGATGGAGTTCCAATCTTCTGGCTTTAGCCTGGTCTAGTCCTGGCTGTTGTGGTCATTTGAGAAATGAACCAGCAGATGGTTCTGTTACTCTGTCTGTCCTTAAAACACACATGCACACCAGTAGGCAAAAGATGAAATACAAATACTTCAATTAAAAGTAAAGGGCAGGGCAGAGCAGTTGTTTGCTCCAGAGGTTAAGTTGCCCATTTGGACACTGCATCCCATATCACAGTGTCTGGGTTCTAGTCCTGGCTCCACTCCTGATTCTAGCTTCCTGTTAATGAGACATAGCAGGTAACGGCTAAAGTTGTTGGGTTCTTGCGATTCACTTGGGAGACATGGACTGAATTCCTAGCTTTTACTTTTGCCTTGAGTACCATTGAAGTATATCAGGTTATATCATGACATCTGGGAAAGATCGATATTCTAACTCTGCCAGGAGATGTGAATTATAAATGTCCAAAATGAACTTCAGAATAATCTAATTACAGAACTGTATCTATCCATTCTCTCTTCAGTATATAACAAGTGGGGAGACTTGACCTTACCCTTTTTTGCAGGATCCAAAGTGGCTTCAGCATTGGCTCCTTGAAGAGTGCTTTGTAAAAATTCTTCATTTCCCAGACTATATGGAAAAGATAGAAGCCCTAATGAGGAACATTAGTTATTTGCTCACAAAACTCTCAAATCAGCAAGACTGAATATCGTAGCTGCTCCACGTGGGCTTGTAGTAAGTCAATCAATCTGATTCAAATTCTGAAATCTGCTCTGTTAGTAACTTCTAATTCTGGTATATGTCTGTGCTGCTAAGGTGAGCACTTCTTTACTGACTTCTGGTTGAAATCCAAGGGTCAAAGGCTTGGGATATACGGTCACAAAAATCAGCAGTTTTTTTTTAAAAACACACACACACACACACCAGTAGGCGAAAGATGAAATACAAATACTTCAATTAAACGTGAAGGGCAGGGGCCGGCCCCGCGGCTCACTAGGCTAATCCTCCGCCTAGCGGCGCCAGCACACCGGGTTCTAGTCCCGGTCGGGGCACCGGATTCTGTCCCGGTTGCCCCTCTTCCAGGCCAGCCCTCTGCTGTGGCCAGGGAGTGCAGTGGAGGATGGCCCAGGTGCTTGGGCCCTGCACCCCATGGGAGACCAGGAAAAGCACCTGGCTCCTGGCTCCTGCCATCGGTTCAGCGCGGTGCGCCGGCCGCAGCGCGCCAGCCGCGGCGGCCATTGGAGGGTGAACCAACGGCAAAGGAAGACCTTTCTCTCTCTCTCTCTCTCTCACTGTCCACTCTGCCTGTCGATCAGAAAATAAAAGACACACACGAGAGCAAAAAAAAATGTGGAGGGGCAGGCAGGTGTTTAGTGGTTAAGCTGCCCATTGCTTTATGGACATACATATCACAGCCAGAATGCAGATGGCCAAAAGATACTTTTCGTTTTCTTTCTTTCTTTCTTTTTCTTTTTTTTTTTTTTTTTGACAGGCAGAATTAGTGAGAGAGAGAGAGAGAGAGAGAAAGGTCTTCCTTTTCCATTGGTTCACCCCCAAAGTGGCCTCTACGCCTGGCGCGTTGCGGCCAGCGTGCTGCACTTATCTGAACCCAGGAGCCAGGTGCTTCCTCCTGGTCTCCCATGAGGGTGCAGGGCCCAAGCACCTGGGCCATCCTCCACTGCACTCCTGGGCCACAGCAGAGAGCTGGACTGGAAGAGGAGCAACTGGGACAGAATCCGGCTCCCCGACCAGGACTAGAACCCGGGGTGCTGGCGCCGCAGGCAGAGGATTAGCCTAGTGAGCCGCGGCGCTGGCCCAAAAGATACTTTTAAAAATGCTTAAAAATGTTATCTCGGGGCCGATGTCGTGGCATTGTGGGTCGAACAGCTGCCTGCAAGGCTAGCATCCCATATGAGCACTGTTTTGAGTGCCAGTTGTTCCACTTCTGATCCAATTCCCTGTTAACAGGACTGGGAAAATAGTGGAAGATGGCCTGAATGATTGGGACTCTGCACCCACATGGGAGACCTGGATAGAGTTCCAGGCTCCTGGCTTCAGCCTGGCTCAGTCCCAGCCACTGTGGCCATTTGGGGAGTGAGTCAGTGAATGGAAGATTTCTCTCCATCTCTTTCTCTGTGCCACTCTGCCTCTCAAATAAATAAATTAATCTTTTTTTAAAAAGTTAATCTTATTAAGACAAGAAGAAAGCTATCAAAACAAGGGGAGCACTAGGATGGAACAAACACCACTATCTTAGACAAGGTCAAGCAATAATTCCTAAAGCAAACAATCTGGCACGTAATCCAATGGGAGATGGCTTATAGATTATTATATGATTTTTATAGACAAAGTTTGAGAGAGATGTGGAATTAGGAACAGAAGAAAGAAAGAGTTGAAAAGGAGTCCTCTGATATTTTCATCAATCACAATTAGCACTGTGAAAATACTTTGGCATATGAGGAACTTGGCCAGAGGACAACCATCTACTAGAAGCAAGTGTATGCAGAGTTCTGCTATCTCACCCTTCTGTGGACATTACTAATAAATAAATAAATCATACAAGTAAAAAGGGTATTTCTGCAGGCATAAAATGTGGGGATTAAGTTAGATGATCTCTAAAGTTTCTTCCAATCCATGATTTGAATCTAGAAAAACATCAATCCTTAACAGTAAACTAAATATGAAAACACCAGCTTTATAGACTCAGGCTTGTTTTCACTCACCTGTAATAATTCGCCTTATTAACTGTTTCTTCAGAAGAATCAGATCCTAAAAAAATTTCCCCAAAAAAACAAATTAGTAAAAGGTTTTTTGTTGAAAGAGATAAACTTAATAAAAGTACTTATTGTAAAACAGATATTCATGGGGCCAGTGCTGTGGTGTACCGCGTTAAGCCACCATCTAGTGTTGGCATCCCATATGGGCGCCAGTTTGAGTCCCAGCCATTCCACTTCTGATCCAGCTCCCTACTAATGTGCCTTGGAAAGCAGCAGAAGATGACCCAAGTGCTTGGGCCCCTGTACCCATTTGGGAGACATGGACGAAGCTCCTGGTTCGGGCCTTCTGCCTGGCCCAGCCCTGGTTCACTGGGGAGTGAACTAGTGGATGGAAGGTCTGCCTTTCTCTCTGACTCTCCCCCTTTCTCTGTAATTCTGACTTTCAAATAAGTAAGTGAATCTTAAAAAGCAACCATAAACAGATATTCATTCATCCCCACTACATGGCAGACACAATGACAAATATATCAGCAATACAGAGAAGTTGTTAAAAGCACAACAACCAAAGCCTAACTTTGTAGATTTAAATCACAGCTTTAGCACTTACTAGCTTACTACCTTGGCAACATTTCTTACCTCTGTGTGCCTTATTTTTCTCATTTACAAATAAGTTTAGAGGGCTGGTGTTGTGGTACAGTGGGTAAAGCTATAGCCTGTGGCACTAGCATCTCTTATGGGTGCCAGTTCAAGTCCTGGCCGCTTCACTTCTGATCCAGCTCCCTAAGGGCCTGGGAAAAGCAGCAGAAAATGGCCCAAGTCCTTGGCCCCTGCCACCCACGTGGGAGACCTGGAAGAAGCTGCTGGCTCCTGGCTCTTGGCTTTGGCTTGGCGCAGCTCTGGCTGCTGCAGCCACCTTGGGAGTGAAACAGCAGATGGAAGATCTCTTTCTCTGTCTCTTCCTCTCTATATCTCTGACTTTCAAACAAATAAATATTTTAAAAATGTATAATAATAACAACCTAAGAGGTTTGATATGCATCTTAAATAAGTTAAACAAGAACTCAACAGTGGGGCAGGCACTGTAGCATAGAGGGTTAAGTCGCCACCCATGACACTGGCATTCCATATGAGTGCAGATCCAACTCCCTGCTAATGCACCTAGTAAAGCCGCAGATGATGGCCCAAGTGCTTGGGTCCCTGTCATCCACATGGGAGACCAGGATGGAGTTCCAGGCTCCTGGCTTTGTCCTGCCCCAGTCCTGGCCATTGCAGCCATTTGGGCAGTGAACCAGCTCATGGAAAATCTCTTACTCTCTTTCTCTCTCTGTAACTCTTTCAAAAAATAAAATAGGGGCTGGTGCTGTGGTATAGCAAGTAAAGCCACAGCCTGCTACTCCAGCATCCCATATGGGCAGAGGTTCAAGTTCCAGCTGCTCCACTTCTGATCCAGCTCCCTGCTAATGTGCCTGGGAAAGCAGTAGACGGTCCAAGTACTTAGGCACCTGCCACCCATGTAGAGACCTGCATGAAGTTCCTGGCTGCTGGCTTCAGCCTGGCCCAGCCTTGACCTTTGTGCCATTTGGGAGTGAACTAGTAGTTAGAAGATCTCTCTGTAACTCTGCCTTTCAAATAAATAAAACAAATCTTAAAAAAAAAAAAAAGGCACCTAATATACTACAGTTTATCTAGGATTCCTCTAAATGCTGTAGCAACCCACAGGTTCTTTCTTATTTCCATTTCTCTAAAATATATTTACACACGTTTATAACCAGACATCCTTTCTTTTGCCCCCTTTATAAAATAAGGTTCTTCAAAGTGGAAACTGCATTTTCACATTATTTATAGCTTACCACAGGGCTCATAAAATGATTTTATCTTCAGTACCCAAAACTCCCTGGCACAGGTATAAATTAAGATCACATTTTTTGGTAAAACTATTAAGAAAAGCAATCTAGCAACTATTATTCTCAAATCACAAAATCTGAGACCCTTACCCAATTCAATGTAGACAGACTTATTTTGAGGTTGTATCTGATGCGTTGTCCTCAGAGATCTCACAATTCCAAGGTCAGAGACTTGGACACTAAGACTGGTTTCCTGCTAAGCAGTAAAAAATGGTCAACCAGTTGTTCATCAGTTTTTAAGCTTTTTTTCCTGAAAAAACTTGAGGCCATGGATAAAACAAATTGACCATAAGCAGTTAGCTAAAATTTATGACACTTAGGAAAAATGCCAGGAAAACTACACAAGAAAATGCTTAGATATTGTATGATTTGGATATTTTCCCCTGTTTATATTTTTCCAAACTATTATTATATATAACTTTGAAGTTTTAAAATAGCATATTTTGAAGCTGATACTTGATATACACTCCTAATCACATCTGATAATAGGGTTGGCGACTAAGAAAAAATAAATTTTTAAAAAAACATAAATGATGGCAAAAAAAAAAACCCTAGCATTCCAAAGAACATTTAGTAAAGCAAAGAATATTTAAAAGCCCAACATTACTTTAACAAGCTTTTCTTCTTCCTTTTAGCACTACGTCTACTGAAAAATGCATGCTGGTATCATGAGAACTTTTTTTGAAATCTTCATTATTCATTCACATATAAGTAACAACAGAGCAAATCACGGCATTTTCTGTGACAATTATACCTTTCAAGAGGAAGTAATCTTCAAATACTTAAAAACATCAGTGACCTTGTAGCTATTTTAGATAGCATCAGGGGAGACAGAAGTCCAAAACAGGGGAAGAGCCTCTGCAGTCTCTTTTGACCACACCAGGCATCCTGACCTTCTTTGAACCCCTCTCTTACTAATGAGAACACTTGTCCAGTCATTTAATTTACCATCTTCCATTCTTAAGGACTTTTTATATAAATCCACAAACATCCAGCACATCCACTAATTTCTAATGCCCAACAAATAGATGTTGCCAGAATGAATGAAAGCAGCTTTTTCTTACCAACGTAGGATTTTTGGGTTCAATCTTTCGAAGCCCTTTGGCACGGTTTCGGTAGCCTATACTTTGAATGATAGAAACGTCCTCCTTTTGATGTTCAGGAGAGTTGTTTTTCTTTTTTGAAAAGTCATAACTGTTTGCAACTGTGAATTACAAAGGAAAACACTATTTTTTTCTAGTTAGGAAAAAATGTTCTTTGTTCTAAGACAATGCATTAAGGTTACTTACAATCTTCTTAAAACAACTTTGGAAATTCTACTCCTAGGAAACGCACACACACACACGTCAAACTTATTTCTAGGCCTTCCCCCCACCACCACCTCAATGCCAACAAATTTGCCTGTTAAATCCTATTTTACTGAACCCAAGACACCAACAATGTGAGATGTGCTGTTATCTTCTGAACCACCAAGACAGAAAATCCACTAAATTAAACAATGATGCACCACTGATGATAACTTCAGACATGTTAAATGTGAAAAAAAGTACATCTTAGGGTTGATAAAATAAAGCACGAGGCACTGATTTACAAAATAGGTTACTGGGACAGGCATTTAGTATAGCAGTTAAGACATGGATTAAAGCTTCTTGCTAATGTTCCTGAGAAAAAAGCGGAGGATGACCCAAGTGCTTGGGCCCTTGCACCCACATAACAGACCTGCAGGAAGTTCCCAGGTCCTGGCTTTGGCCTGGCCCAGCCCTGGCCATTGTAGCCATGTGGGGAGTGAGTCAGCAGATCAAAGACCTCTCTGTATGTCCATTTCTCTCTCTCTCTGAGATTGTGCGTTACAAATAAATAAAATAAATCTTAAAAAAAAAAAAAAAGGACAAAAAAACAAAGACATGTGTTAAGATGCTTTTGCCCTGTATGGAAGTACATGGTTTCAGTTCATAGCTCCAGCTCATGACTCCGGCTTTCAGCTAACAAAGACCCTAGAAGGTAGGCGGCAGTGGTGATGGCTCAAGTAATTGTATTTCTTGGGGCTGGCATTATGGTGCAGCAGGTTAAGCCACTGCTTAGATGCTGGCATTCCATGTAGGTATGCTTGTTTGAGACCCAGCTACTCCGCTTCTAATCCAGTTCCCAGCTAATGGGACAGGGAAGGCAACAGAAAATGGCCTCAAGTGTTTGGGCACCTGACACTCATGTGAGATACTCAGACAAAGTTCCTGGCTTCTGGCTCCAGCCTGGCTATGGAGGCCATTTGGGGCATGAACTAGTGGATGGAAGATCTCTCTTTCTATATACATAACTATCTCTGTTGTTCTGCCTTTCAGATAAATAAATCTTAAAAAAAAAAGTAATTGTATTCCTGCCACCCATGTGGAAGCCCTGGCTTGAGTTCCTGGTTCCCAGTTTTGGCCCAGCCCAGGAGTAAACCAGTGGATGAGAGCTCTACCTGTCTGCGTACATTTCAAATATATTTTTAAAAAATTATAGATATGAAGATAAAATTAACCTAGACCAAAAAGTCTTATCACCTATTCACAGAAAATACTACAGCAAGCTTCTGGAATTTTCATGGACAGCCATTGAACATCAGCCTCAGGGCTGTGCAATACTTACAGGGCAATCCTGTGTCAAGCTCAAAAGCCTGAATCATTTTCAATAGCTCTTCAACAAGTTGACTAAATCTTGTACTCTCTTGAAGGCTTCTGAAATTAAATCGTTTGAGAGGCACACTTAGTAAGTGATTATCAACTTTTTAAGAACACTAAAATAAGGAAAGACATGTAAACAAATAGCAGTAGTAAACTTTTATTCAAAGAACAAAGCTATTAGACTACAATCAATACATCACTGGCATCAGAATAAAGTATGTGGCAGTACTGACTGCTTTTACAATTTTTTCTTATTCTATTAAAGCTACCAAAAGCCTCAAACTATCTGATATAATACTACCCTGAATCCATGATAGATACAAATCTACTGTATAGAGAAATTATTTCATTCATTCCTTTAAATATTTGTATGCTTACTATTTCTCCAAAGACTGAAGAACAGTAATTGTATTAGATGACACAAAGATACTGACCTAACAGAACATACATGTGACAGGACAGATACACAATACATAAATACATTGTTTTTATTAAATAATTAGGTGGAAAATAAATGTAATGAAGCATAGATGTTGGACAAAGTGGTTATGATGCCAGTTGGGACACTCACATCCCATATCAGAGTGCCTGAGTTTGAGTCCTGGCTCCACTTAGAATTTCAGCTTCTTCCTAATCCAGGGGAGGCAATGGTAATTTCTCATGTACTTGGGTATCTGCTCAGATGCAGTTCCTGGCTGTCAGCTTCAGCCTGGCCCAGCCCTAGCTGCTGAGGGCTTTTAGGGAGAGAGCTAGCAGATGAGAGATTTCTGTTTCCGTATCTCTGCCTTCCAAATAAATAAATAAAAAGTAAAACAAAAAACCTGTAAGCTCTTGCACTGTTCAGAAGCATTAGGAAGACAGTAAGTTGCTGATTCCCAAATAGGCAAATGTCCATAAAACTTGCAGGAAACAATTTTAGAAATAATTTTCAGGGCCGGCGCTGTGGCGTAGGAGGTAAAGCCACCACCTGCAGTGCCAGCATCCCATAGGGTGCCAGTTCAAGTCCCGGCTGCTCCACTTCCGATCCAGCCCTCTGCTATGGCCTGGGAAAGCAGTATAGGATGGCCCAAGTCCTTGGGCCCCTGCACCCACATGGGAGATCCAGAAGAAACTCCTAATTCCTGGCTTTGGATTGGCATAGTTCTGGCTGTTGTGGCAAACTGGGGAGTGAACCAGTGGATGGAAGAACTCTCTCTCTCTCTCTGTGTAACTCTGACTTTCAAATAAATAAATAAATCTTTTTTTTAAAAAGAAAAGAAATAATTTGCTTCAGAACTAGCATCGTGGCACAGCAGATAAGGCTACCACCTGCCACGCCCACATCCCACATGGGTGCTGGTTCCAGTCCTGGCTACTCTACTTTTTTTGTTTGTTTTGTTTTTTATTTGACAGATAGAGTTAGACAGTGAGAGAGAGACAGAGAGAAAGGTCTTCCCTCCATTAGTTCACCCCCAAAATGGCCGCTATGGCTGGAGCTACGCCGATCTGAAGCCAGGAGCCAGGTGCTTTCTCCTGGTCTCCCATGCAGGTTCAGGGGTCCAAGCACTTGGGTCATCCTCCGCTAACCTCCGGGCCACAGCAGAGAACTGGACTGGAAGAGGAGCATTCAGGACTAGAACCCAGTGCCCATATGGGATGCCGGCACCGCAGGCAGAGGATTAACCAAGTGAGCAACAGTGCCGGCCCCTACTCTACTTCTGATCTAGCTATCTGTTAATGGCCTGGGAAAAGCAGAATATGGCACAAGTACTTGGGCCCTTGCCACCCATTTGGAACACCTAGAAGAAGCTCCTGGCCTCTGGTTTCAGCCTGGCCCATTACTGGCCATTGTGGCCATCTGGGAAGTGAACCAGTGGATGGAAGATCTGTCTCTCCCTCTCTATAACTCTGACTTTCAAATAAATAAACAAATCTTTAAAAAGAAAAATAATTTGTCTGCTAAACACTTTACGCATTTTTAAACAAGAAAATGAATGGTTTTATAGGAACACCAGTTAAACTATTATTTAAGAATTTCCACTCCCTCTTGCTGTTGTTACTTCCAACCTCCCATCAATACCCAAACTGTGTACCTTTTGGTTATATCATTCTTACACAAAGGACATTGTGAGGGCCCTTTCTTCTGGTTGAGAAGCTTCAGCATACAAAATCTATAAATTATAAAGAAGAAAAGAACATTTCAAGTTTATTTTTGTAGGCAGAATACTCAAAAGGCAAAGAACCTCAAAAAGATAATCTCACAATACTCTGAAAGAGCCATTTAAAAGGTAATGGCCGGTGAATTACAACCAATGGTTTTCTCTAATTGTTTTTAGATGCTGCATAAGCAGGAAACCAAACCACATAAGCAATGATCTATGAAAACTGAACTTACATGCATATGGCTTTCTGTTATGATAAAAAGGTATTAAGATGTTAATATGGCACATTTAATGATATATAATCCACATAAAATTATTATAATTAGTTGAAAAACTCAGCACCTTACTATAAAGCTACAATAATCAAGACATTGTAGCGTTGGCATAAGGACATATAAGGGGCCAGTGTTGTAGCATGGCGGGTTAAGCTGCAGCTTGTGATGCATCTAGTAACAGAGTGCACCTTTGAGTCCCAGTTGCTCCACTTCCAATCCAGTTTCCTGCTGATGTGCTTGGGAAGCCAGCAGATCATGGGCCATATGCTTAAATCCCTGCCACCCACGTGGGAGACATGGATGAAGTTCCTGGCTCCTAGCTTTGGGCTGGCCCAGCCCTGGTTGTTGTGGCCATTCGGGGAGTGAACCAGCACATTATCCTGGAGCCACACAGAAGCGGAGCAGCCAGGAATTGAACTGGTATTCCAAACGGGATGCCTGGTATGCAGGCCATCACATGCAGTGACTTTAAGACATGGTGCTGGGACTGCTGTTGTGGCACAGGGAGTAAAGCCGCTGTCTGAGACACTGCCTGTATCACATAGGGGCGCTGGTTCAAGCCCTGCTGCTCTACTTCCAACCCAGCTCCTTACTAATGCCCATGGGGGGAAGGTGTACCCACGTGGGAGACCCGAAGATCTGGAAGAAGCTCTTGGCTCCAAGCTTTGGTGGTCTGGCCCTTCCCTGGCCATTGTGGCCATTTGGGGAGTGAACCAGCAGATGAAGATCTCTTTTATCTCCCTCTTTCTCTAACTCTGCCCTTCAAATAAATAAAATAAATCTTTTTTTTTTTTTTTTTTTTTGACAGGCAGAGTGGACAGTGAGAAGACAGAAAGGTCTTCCTTTTGCCGTTGGTTCACCCTCCAATTGCCGCCACGGCCGGCGCACTATGGCCGGTGCACCGCGCTGATCCGAAGGCAGGAGCCAGGTACTTATCCTGGTCTCCCATGGGGTGCAGGGCCCAAGCACTTGGGCCATCCTCCACTGCACTTCTGGGCCATAGCAGAGAGCTGGCCTGGAAGGGGGGCAACCGGGACAGAATCCGGCGCCCCAACTGGGACTAGAACCTGGTGTGCCGGCGCCGCTAGGTGGAGGATTAGCCTATTGAGCCACGGCACCGGCCTAATAAAATAAATCTTAAAAAAAAAAACAACACACAGTACTGCAATGCCTGCCCCATAGTGCCCTCGCCTAATCCATACAGACCTGAAGTATATTCATTCTACAGTAGAGACTTATCTCAGACCACCCAGAAAAAGGGTGAAGGTGATGTTGAATCCAGGGTTGAATTGCAGAAAGTCAGTCATTCTCTGAGAAAGTGAATGCAGGGGGGCCAGTGCTGTGGTGCAGTGGGTTAACGCCCTGGCCTAAAGCGCCAGCATCCCATATGGGTGCTAGTTCAAGACCTGGCTGCTCCACTTCTGATCCAGCTCTGCTATGGCCTGGGATAGCAGTAGAAGATGACCCAAGCCCTTGGGCCCCTGCACCCACGTGGGAGACAGACCCAGAAGCTCTTGGCTCCTGGCTTTGGATCGGTACAGCTCTGGCCGTTGCAGCCAATTGGGGAGTGAACCATCAGATGGAAGACCTCTCTCTCTCTGCCTCTCCTCTCTCTGTGTGTGTAACTCTGACTTTCAAATAAATAAAATAAATCTAAAAAAAAAAAAAAAAAAGTGAACGCAGGTAGGCAGGATCAAGGAGATTCAGATGCTACACAGAAGCTTCAACTATCATATTCTACTCAACAATGACACAGAGTTTAGAGGATAACGGTGTTAAAAAGCTATCTGCATTGCACATAAATACCCTTTAAAGACACAGAATAGAAGTTACTACTCCTTGGAAACACATAAGATGCAAATACTACCTGTACTCAAAGAAGCATCAATGTATTACCCTGGCAAATAGCACAGTGAACAATTCTGAGTAGGAGTACGGAGGGAATCCCCAATCATTCCTGTAGTACTGTAGAATACAGTAGAGTGACATTTTTTTCCTAGCTTTCTCTAGATCAAGATGTTATTCAAATGATAAAGATATTACAGGGGCCAGTATTGTGCTACAGGTTATGCTGCCACCTGCAATGCCAGCATCCCATATGAGTGCATGTTTGAGACCTGGCTGCTCCATTTTCAACACAGCTCTCTGCTAATGCACCTGGGGAAGCAGCAAAAGATGACCCAAGTACTTGAGCCCCTGCACCCATGGATGACCTTGATGGGAGTTCCAGGCCGCTAGCTTCAGCCTGGCCCAGCCTCAGCCATCGTGGCCATCTGGGAAGTGAACCAGCAAATGAAAAATCTCTCTCCCTCTTTCTCTGTAACTGCCTTTCAAATAAATAGGTCAATCTTTTTTGTTTGTTTGTTTTTAAACAAAAAGGTATTACAGAAGAGATCCCTGAAAAAGTTGATTTATAACATGGGCATTATACTGGATTTTTTTTTTTTGGACAGGTACAGTTATAGACAGTGAGAGAGAGAGAGACAGAGAGAAAGTCTTCCTTCCGTTGGTTCACTCCCCAAATGGCCGCTACGGCTGGTGCTGTGCTGATCTGAAGCCAGGAGCCAGGTGCTTCTTCCTGGTCTCCCATGGGGTGCAGGGCCCAAGCACTTGGGCCATCCTCCACTGCCCTCCCGGGCCACAGCAGAGAGCTGAACTGGAAGAGGAGCAGCCAGGAGTAGAACCCAGCGCCCATATGGGATGCCGGCGCCACAGGCGGAAGATTAACCAAGTGAGCCACAGCGCCAGCCCCTATACTGGACTTTTAATTCTAATGTATCAGTCAAGACTCAATTTAAATTATGACTGATTCTCTACTGCCTACCATATTCTCCATACTGGGGATTTGCAAGTCTTCCTTAATCTCCCACTGCTGCCAACTCTAATCCTCTCAATCTCATCAGCTATCTTCACCTCCATCTTCACTGGGCTCAAAGCACTTTAACTTTCCCTGCCTCCAAATCTTTCTACAGAACTACTCTTACTCCATTACTCCATGAGTAACAACTGTCCCTCTTGACTGCATTCATCTTCAGTTTCCAACCTCTCAGCCTGCTCTAGGACCTTTTCTCATGCAAATGCCTTCTCCTCTCTAAGGGCTTATACATATGCAAAGATAAGTTATTTTTCCTGGGCATACATTATTTTCTTATCTTTCCTCCGTCTGTGATTGTCTTCCACATGTTCTTGAAGTACATATTAATGATCTTATAACTCACTATGATAGCATCTTCAGTATTTATTACTCAGGTGACAGGAAGGCATGCAGTAGATATTGCAGAAAGATTCTCATCGAGAGAGCGTGTTAAGTCTCAGTGTATAAAAGTTCATCTTCAGCTATCTGGAACCTTGTAAACACTGGGACGTTCTTGTTTTACAAAGTCTCCACCTGGGAACAAACTGATCACATAAATACCCTTTAAAGAGTATTTTAGTCTGATAGTCTGAGAAGCACTGATGCAGAGGCCACAGTCAGAAATTCTTAAAGCTAGGGAGAAAGTTGTGCTGCCCTGGCATGAGGCCGGCGGGGAACAGGACAGAGGAATCAGAAGGAAACAGGAACCGACTGAATGCTGGGGCTGACAGGGGAAACGGGAAAAAGACTGGAAATGGGTTTCTGGATCCTTGTTGGAACGCAGAATGTAAAGAGTAAGAATTCAGAGGGAGGAAAGCACCAGCCAGCTGGCAGATGTGTGCTTAGAGGACATCTCTCCAAAAAGAACAGGTTTCCTGCAGCTTCAGCCAGCTCTCATTATCCTTAAAACAGCAGCTGTTCCCTTTTCTAGGTTATGGAAGCATCCTAAGAATCTGGTGGAAATTATGGACTCCCTTCCTCAAAAAAGTACATGTTCATAGTTTTTAATACAACTTAAAAATTTTTAAAAAGATTTATTTATTCTGAAAGCCAGAATTATAGAGAGAGAGGGAGAGACAAGGGAATTAGTTCACCTCCCCTATGGCTGTAATGGCCAGTGCTGGGCCAGGCCAAAGCCAGGAGCCAGGAGGTACACCTACTTCTTCCGCGTTGTAGGCAGGGGCCCAAACACTTAGGCCATCCTCCAATACTTTTCCTAAGCCATTAGCAGGCAGCTGGATTGGAAGTGGAGCAGCTAGGACCTGAACTGGCACCCACATGAAATACTGGTGTTGCAGGCAGCAGCTTTAACTGCTATACCACAATGCCCACTGGTTCCTTAATATAACTAAATTTAAAATTGAATGTAATTTTACAAAGTCATGAACTCAAAGTTAAGAACTCTTGAATTTAAAAATTCCTGGTTGTCTCTGGGGAGAAAAGGGAGAAGCAGGAGTTTGGGATGGAAGTGGAAGGAACATATTTTACATCATAAACACTTTTGTGTTAATAAACTCATTACCCAGAACATGGTTTGCTTTTCCAATAAAAGACACTCAGGCATGGTGTTGTGGTACAGTGTGTTAAGCTGTTAGGTAGGAAGGTAGACATTAGCCTACACATGTGAGAGGAGCTAATCAACAACAAGGGGAATTTTGTGCAGTTGCATGATGGAAGTGTAGAAGCCACCTTAGAAGTACATCAGCATTTGTGCATCAAAAGCCTTGCTCATGTTTAATAACCTTCTTGGGGGGGGGGGGGGGTCACAGCCCTCCCCTGGGAGTCGGGGGGAAGTTTAGGGGAGTCTTCCCTGCCCTGTGCCAGGGGTTCTGTTAGGTCCAATAACATTGTGCTGATCAAGTTCTAGGAGGAATTTCAGGAATTCCACACCCAGAGAGCCCTCAACTCACCAATATCCCAGAAGAGGGAAAGGTGGAAAAAACTGTAGGCCATTTTCATATCTATAAAACTCTCAGTTCTTTGCTGAGATGCCTGGCTGGTATATAAGGTGTATCTTCTTCATTAACTTGCTACCCCACTTACTACTTCTCTCTAGTTCGTGTCTGAAATTCTTTTCTTGCAAGAAGACAAGGACCTCTGATCCAGCAGGCTCCAATAACAAAGTCACCACTTGCAATCCCAGCATCCCATAATGGAATAATGGTTTGAGTCCCTGCCGCTCGGCTTCCGATCCATCTCCCTGCTAATACATTCTAAAATGCCTGGGAAAACAGCAGCAGAAGATCGTCCAAATGGAGTTATGAGTTCCTGGCTCTGGCTGGCCCACCCCCAGATGGAAGATTGATCTATCATTTTGCCTTTCAACTACATTTTTAAAAGATCAAAACTTTGGGGCCAGCGTTGTGCTATATGAGTTAGGCCACCGCATACAATGCTGGCATCCCATATTGGCACCAGTTTGAGTCCCAGCTGCTCCACTCCTGATCCAGCTCTCTGCTAATGCATCTGGGAAGGCAGCAGAAGATGGCCCAAGTGCGTGGGCCCCTGCTACCCATGCGGAAGACCCGGAAGAAACTCCTAGCTCCTGGCTACGGATTGGCCTAGCTCCAGCCATTGTGGTCATTTGGGGAGTGAACCAGCGAATGAAGACCTTTCTCCCTCTCTCTCTGCCTCTGCAACTCTGCCTCACAAATAAAATAAATCTTAAAAAAAAAAAAAAAAAAGGCATTCCGAAAGAACCAGTGGTGTGGTACAGGAGGTTAATTGACGCCAGCATCCCATATGAGCTCTGACTTGATCCCCAGCTGGACTGCTCCGATCCAGCTCCCTGCTAATATCCCTGGGAAAACAACAGAAGATAGCCCAAGTGGTTGGGTCCCTGCTACCCATGTGGGAGACCTGGGTGAAGTTCCAGCTCCTGGCTTTGGCCTGGCACAACTCTGGCTTTCTGGCCATCTGGGGAGGGAAACAATAGACAGAAGGTCTTCCTCTCTCTGTAACTGACTTCCAAATAAATCAATAAATCTAAAAACAAAACAACAAACAAAAAAAAAGTACTCTGAGACACAATGGAGAGTTGGATTTTTCTTTGTTACTTAATTGAAGAAGCTGAAGCTTCTATTCTATAAAGTCCAGTTTCTCTGTGGTATGAAAAATAAGCACAAAAATTAATAATGGGGGCTGGCACAGGTAAAGCGGCTGCCTGCAGTGCTGGCATCCCATATGGGCGCTGGTTCAAGTCCTGGCTGCTCCACTTCTGATCCAGCTCTTTGCTTTGGCCTGAGAAAGCAGTAGAAGATGGCCCAAGTGCTTGGGCCCCTGCACCCGTGTGGGAGACCTGGAAGAAGCTCCTGGCTCCTGGCTTCAGATCAGCTCAGCTCTGGCCGTTGTGGCCATCTGGGGAATGAACCAGTGGATGGAAGACCTCAAAGACCTCTCTCTCTTTCTGCTTCTCTATAACTCTGCTTTTCAAATAAATAAATATTAAAAAAAAGAAAGTTAATAATGGAGCCACATAAAACACTCAAACTTACTTGCAAAATATATGGTCACATTTTGTAGAAACAGGTTCTTTAATCAATTCCAGACTAGAAAGATAGGGGAGAAAAAATATGAGAAAAATAAATGAGGCACAGTAACTTATTAACTTATTTAAAAATACATTCTTAGTAATATTCAACTTTAAGCTTCTGTAACTGAATCAAGGTAAGGCTGAAAGTCCAGTCATGTGTTAGCAGCTAAGAACACAGCAGAGAATACAATCTTTACCTTCAATAAAGACATCAAAACAGAATTATACTCATCTCTTCAACTTTATACTATCATTAATATTCAAGATTAACTGAAAATACTTTAATTAGTTTCCATTTAAACCCTTTTTTTAAATCATTGTGGGTGCACATTCTATATCATAATTAAACAATCGAGTTCCATAAAGACAAAACCTTCTGTTTAAAGCAGTCTGCACTTATCTGAGAGTTTCAGCTGCCTACAGACAAGCGTAGTCCAAAAATATTAAATGGAAAGTTTCAAAAACAATTCATAAGTTTCAAATTACAAACGGTTTCATATAGCATGATGACATCTCCCCCTGTCCAGCCTGGGATGTGAATCATTGCTTTGTCTAACATATTCAGGTTATACATACCACCTGCTTATTAGTCACGTAGCCATCTAGGTTATCAGTTCTTTAAAAAAAAAAGTATTTATTTATTTAAGAGGTAGAGACAGTGAGAGAGCTCCCACCTGCTGGTTTACTCTCCAAATACCCACAATGGCTAGAACAGGGCCAGGCTAAAGCCAGAGCGGGGATCTCAAGCCAGGTTTCCCATGTGGGCAGCAGAGACCTAAGTACTTGAGTCATCACCTGCGACCTCCCAGGGTGTGCATTAGCAGAAAATTACAGTCAGCAGCAGAGATGTGACACAAATGAACCCAGGTGCTCTCCTACGGGATGTGGGAGCCCAAGTGGCCTATTAATCACTGCAGCCACATCTGTCCCACCCTCCATGTTATTTTAAAATACATACCAGCCTTCATATAATTTCATTTATAGATGTTTTAATTATATTCCCTTTTAAAATTATTTATGTAATTTGAGAGATAAAAAGAGAAAATGTCAGAGAGAAAGATCTTCTGTCTGCTGATTCACTCCCTAAATGCTTACAACCAGGAACCCTAGGCCTCTCATATGGGTGGCAGTGATCTAACCACCTGCAGCCTTCTAAGGTGTGCATTAGCAGGAAGCTGGGTTTAGATAAAGCTAGGATTTGAATCCAGGCACTCTGATATGGAATGCAGGTGTCCCAAGTGATGTCTCAATTGCTTTAAAAAATAAATGTTTGGCCTAGTGGGTAACATGCAGCTTGGGACATCCAAATCCCTCAACAAAGCGTCTGATTCAAGTCCCAGTTCCGCTTCTAATTCAGCTTTCTGCTGATGGCTCAAGTAGCTGGGTCCCTGTCACCCATCATAAGTCTAGGAAGACCTAGACTGAGTTCTTGGCTCCTGGCTTTGGTCTGGCTTCTGGCTTTGTCTGGTCCAGCCCTGTTGTAGGCATCTGGAGATTCAATCAGCAGATGGGCCATCTCTGACTCTCTCCAGCTCTAACTCTCTCACTTTAAAAGAGATGGATGTTTTTAGTATAACCATAAAAAATTATTACTCCTAAAAATTAATTTCCTTAATAACATTTAACATACAAATAATGTTCTAATTTGCCTTTCTCATAAAAATTTTAAGTCATTAAATTTGCTTAAATCAGGACCTAAACAAGTTTCATATACTGTATTTGGTTGATAACTCTTGCCCATTTTAATCTTAGATTTCTCCTATTTTCCCCTTTGCCACTTATTTAAAAGCGATGCACACAGGTTAAGATCCCACTAGGGACAACTATATATTTTTAAAAAAAGATTTATTTATTTATTTGAAAGGCAGAGTTACACAGAGAGGAGAGGCAGAAAGGTCTTCCATCTGCTGGTTCACTCCCCAGCTGGCCGCAATGGCCGGAGCTGTGCAGATCCAAAGCCAGGAGCCAGGAGCTTCTTCCAGGTCTCCCATGTGAGTGCAGGGGCCCGAGGACTTGGGCCATCTTCTACTGCTTTCCCAGGCCATAGCAGAGGGCTGGATCGGAAGTGGAGCAGCCATATGGGATGCCGGCACTTCAGGCCAGGGCGTTAACCCACTACACCACAGCGCCAGCCCCTAAGGGACAACTGCATTTCATATTGGAGTGTTCAGGTTCAAGTCCTGGCTCCCATTCCAACTTCCTGCTGAAGCACACCCTAGGAGGCAGCAAGAGAAGGCCCAGGAACTCAGGTCGCTGCCACCCACATATTAGATCCAGGCTGAGTTCTGGTCTCCTGGCTCAGCCTAGCCCAGCCCTGGATGTGCCAGGCATTAGGGGAGTGAACCAGCAGATGTAAGATCACCCAGCATTGTGATTTAACAGGTTAAGCCACTGCCAATTTTCATCCTGGCTGCTCTACTTCCAATACAGCTCCCTGCTGACAAGCCTGGGAAGGCAGCAGAAAATGGCCCAAGTCCTTTGGCCCCTGCACTTGTGTGGGGTACCTGAATAAAGCTCCTAGCTCCTGGCTTCAGCCTGGCCCAGACCCAGCAGTTGCTACCATTTTGGGGAATGAACCAGCAGATGGAAGATTCTCTCTCTCTCTTCGTAACTCAGCCTTTCAAATAAATAAAATAAATCTTAAAAAACATTAAAAAAAAAAAAAAGCTAGGTAATTTGACCTTAGAACCTCCCACATTCTGGATTTTGCTGATTGTAACCCCATGGTATGGTTTAATATGTTCCTCTAGCTGCTCTATTTCCTATAAACTAGACCTTTGGGCTTGATACAATTCAGGTTCGGTATTTCAGCAAAAATGTTTTGCAGGTGGAATTATTTTCATTCTGTTACCTCAGGTGTGTAATAATGTTTTGCTTATGATTACTTTGTAAAATCAGTGCAATGCCCATTAAAGGAAACTAAGAAAATAATAAACTTACTCCCATCCCTACCCATCTACCCACAAAATCTCAAGGCCTTCTTGAGACTGATTTAGTAATATAACAAGTATGTATTGGGCATCTACTCACACAAGCCTTGTTCCCAAAGATAGAAATAAGGCAATGGGTAAAACAAAACCTACCCTTAGGGAGCATATATTCTAGCTGTGGTAGACAGCTTGACAGAGGAAGTAAATAAGCAGACACAGGAGTACATATTAAAAAGAAAATAAGGGGGACAGGGAGTGCTACCTGTGTGTCATGGGTGTGTGTTTGTATACAAGATGGTCATGAAAGGCCCACTGAGAATGACATTGGAGCATAGCTGAATGATGTTAAGTCTTTAGCTTTACGCTGCAAGAGAGTTCTAGAAACTGATGTTTGGTGGTGAAATCTAGGCAGAACATCAAAGCACAAGTAACCTGGTAGTGTTAACAGGGACGTGGTTCTTTTCAACAGATGTTTAACTTGTTGCAAAAGGATCTCAGAAGCTGGGGACAATAGCCTTGTTGTAAAGGACCTGGTAACACAACTCTTGTAATCATGGGGTTTCTGACGCAGCACAGGGCAATGAAAAGAAAAACACAGGACTAAGTCAAAAGGCTGAGTTTCTACCACCAGTTCTCCCTCTCTTTTTTCAATCAGCAGAGCAACCTCAGGCCAAGCACTCTACTTGACCCTGCTTCCTTCTGTCACTCACCCACTCTGCCAGTCTCCTGAGGCTACCAAGAGAATAATATTAAACATTACTGGGGAAAATGCTTCACAATGTGAGATGACTTGTATCAATGTATTATTATTGGGACCGATGTAACTTTAAAAAAGGAAATCAATCCTAGCAAAGAGAACTCTGATTTGTTCCTAAATCGCAATTTCTAGGATAAGATAGATATCAAGGAAATTCTCAGTAAGAGAATTGGATGTAGTTCTGATGCCAGATGGCTTTCGTTCTCACCACTGACTCAGTTCTGAAATAATTATATTTCAGTATGGTAATTATAATCCAAGCTACACAAACACATTGTAAACACAAACTCTGAACAGATGAAAACTCCAATATGTGAAAAGGTAATGACTGCTGAAGGAAGAACTTGCAGACAGAATAGGAGTGAAAAGGAAAAAAATAAAATGTTGCTCTTCTAGGTCCTGATGAGAGTAAATGTTTACTGTAAAAGTGATTCAAATATTTTAAACACTTTTCAGGAGCTGACACTGTGGTGTAGTAGGCTAAGCCTCCGCCTGCGGCACTGGCATCCCATATGGGTGCTGGTTCATGTCCTGGTTGCTCTTCTTCCAATCCAGCTCTCTGCTTATGGCCTGGGAAAGCAGTGGAAGATGGCCCAAGTCCTCGGGCCCCTGCACCCATGTGGGAGACCTGGAAGAAACTCCTGGCTCCTGGCTTCAGATCAACCTAGCTCCAGCCATTATAGCCATTTGGGGAGTGAACCAGCGGATGGAGGACCTTTCTGTCTGTCTTTCCCTCTGTCTCTAACTCTGCCTCTCAAATTAAAAAATAAATAAATAAAAGAAAGAAAATTTAAACACTTTTCAAATCTGGCAGGATATTAAGCCTACTTCATATTTGCATATTGAGCTTCCAACATGGGTAATGGGAAAAGAAATCAGTTTAGGCTTGAAAAATTACTACCCACCGGAAAACGTTTTAGCAATTCTTCTGAATGTAAAAAACTTATATGATTATATGTAAAAAGTTAGAAAGAACTACCAATTATTGGAAATAACTGCCAATAGAAACTTAAAGGCCAGCACAAGAAATTTTCATTCAAGACATTCTTAGCTTAAGGAAGCTAAGAAACCACCCTATAGCAACCACAAGTAACACTGTTTCAAGTTCCAATCAGAAATCACTTAAGAGTTAACTGCAAATTGGGGAGCCAGCATTGTGGCACGGTGAGTAAAGTCACCGCCTGTGATGCCAGCAGCCATATGGGTGCCAGTTCGAGTCCCAGCTGCTCCACTTCGACGCCAGCTCTCTCCTAATGTGTCTACGAAAGCAGTGGAGGATGGTCCAAGTGCTTAGGCCCCTGCACCAAAGTGGGAGACCTGGAAGAAGCT